GACGACATCAAAGTCTGTCTGACACTAAGCGTTCCCCTGTCAACAGAATGTTCATATGAAGCTTTATGGTGACATCTTGTGGCTAAAATCAGTGTTTGGGTTGTTGTTAATTCTAGACTGCAAACAATAAAAAAGTTGTCTTGAATGAAAGAGTCTGGTTTATTCTGCAGTTGTGTGCACATTTACAAAGCTGTCTCTGTTCCCGTCTCGCCCTGACCTAAAGCAGAGTGATACACTGGAAAAAAACTAAACAAAAACAATATCTAGGTAAGTTAAAATGACTTATTAAGATCATTTTTCTGTATTTGAGTTGCTTAAACTTGACAAGTAAAATTGTCTACCAATAGAATAAGTGTCTTTTCCTTATAATAAGAAACAAAATCAACTGTTACTTGAATTAAGTGCAAAAAAAAAGTTGCAGTTTTTCTTATTTTAAGTGAAGCGAGATGTACTTTCATAGTTTTAAGTACAAAAGTCTTATTCCACTGGCAGATCATTTGACTTGTCAAGTGAAATTGACTCATGATGAAACTTAACATTTTAACTTCACTAGATTTTGTTTGTTATTTTACTTTGACGTCTACATTTACGTTTATATAATTATGTCTTATTTCACACGTGTCTCTTGCTCTTTTAGAATTTGTTATTACCATTTATACTTTTTATTCTTTGTTATTATTGTAAATATTATTCTGTGATGTGTGAGCTACTGTGTCCAAATAAATCCCCTTATATCCTAATTACATTTTAGTTAATATGTCTGATTTACTTACACTTGTTCTTTTTGTTTTTTTGAGGACCCTTGGAAGAGACCACCATGACTCAACAACGGGGGGAGCACTATTTAGTTCGTTTTATTAAGTTACTTTGTTTAGTTTGGTTTAAGATCACTTTATTATCACTTATTATTTTCTGTATTATTATTATTATTGGCCTTTTTGTTACTTTGATTAAGTTAGTAGATGAGTTAATTATTTAGTGTAATTCCTCCCTCTTAAGTATTTAAACTCCCCTGTTCCTTTGTCTGGTTGGGTTCGTTTTGTTCTGTTCAGTTTGATTTGAGTTTCCCCAGTTGGGTCCGGCTTTTTTTTTTTTTTTTTTTTGTTAATAATTTGCCTAATTTGAGTCTTTGTTAAATTATATCTTTTTTGACTTTGACTTATTAACTTTGACTTATTTTTATAGCTTGTCTTTGCCTTTCTGTTTGGTCCACTACATGGATCAATAAAGTTTGTCTAAATCTAAGGATGATAAACCTGCAAAAAGGCCTAATCCACCTCGAGTGAAAATAGAAATGAAACTGAGTCAACAATCAGAAATAAACAAGTCGAAACCAGTTTTAGACCGATACAAGTGACACTTGCACCCACAACAAAAACAACTCGAATACAAACTAGTGTGGAACAGGCCATAGACCACAACCCCAAAGATCATGACCGAAAGAGTTTAAGCTGAAGTAAAAGTACTTCTAACGCCAAACCCTGTTAAACAATGACAGAATTCCAAGTGTATGAACAAGTTTACATTTACAATTTCACTTACGATTTACTGTAAATATAAAAGACAAAATATAAATTAAAACAAACTAAATTTAATGCATCATTCATTCATTTCAGAGCTCTAGATCTTTCACAACACTTTATACCCATTTTGTAAAGGCTTCTACAGTGTGAGACTTTCTTTTTAAATCATCACTCAGGTTATTCCACACACTAGTCCCTCAAACACAAATACACTTTTTTCTTAGTCCTTACCTTCATTTTTTTAAAAAGATACCTGTTCCTCTAAACCAGGAGTGTCAAACTCATTTTGTTCCGGGGGTCGTATCCAACCGACTTTGATCCCAAAGGGGCCGGATCAGAAAACTCATGTCATATAAACCCCAAAAATAACAACAAGTTCAAATATTTGTGCAGAGAAACGCAAATCTATTACAGAAATCTTTTTTAATTGATGAACTCTTTCTTTTACAAAATATTATAATATTATGAACAACCTGAAACTTTAAGAAAAATACAATTTTCAACACAATGTTTTAACATGATGTTTGCAAACAGGAGTAAGTAAATTTTTGTTGTAAAATCCTGCACTCGGCTCCACTTTTCTCATGTTGGACATTTTTCTGATGAGGGTGTCACGGTCAACAGTCAAAACGATCGTCCTTTAAGAGCGTTTGGAAAGAGACAAGTCTTCATTTGTGCTGCTATACTCTGATGTAGGTTTATGACAGATTTATAGCGGAAAATGATTTGGGGAATGACAGGAGTGATACATGCTCTGGTGACTTCAAGACCAGAGTGAGCTCCGTAAGATTACACGACAGAAGCGCTATACACATCAAAGTAATTCAGAAGTAAACCAGACACAAAGTTAACAACAAAAAACCATAAGGAGACGCTCTAAACACAAAAACATTAAAGAGCACTGTGGCATTCCAGGCTCGGGGAAAGGTAACGGGGTGAAATAATATCCCTTTTTCTCATTTGTCTAAGTCAAAAAAGGTGATGGAAGATTCAAAACACTTTCACTTTACTAACGCCTTCAGACGGTCTACATGTTTTAGTCATCACAGGGAGAGTATGCAAATCCCACACCAAAAAACCCAAAGACACTGACCACGCTCCAGCACGTACAACACAACGGATCTTTACATTTTACACTGAGAAAAGTTAAATCTTGTTGCATTAAAATGACCTGAATTAAGAAAATGTCGTCTTGATTTGGGTCCAGTGAAACGATCTGCCGACAGAACAAGCCTTTTGGACTTAAAATAGGAAAGTATCTTGTTACTTTAAAGGCAAGGACGACAACAACGCTTTAGAAAATGTATTTACTTACAGAATACAGAATACCCAAATTCAAGTGTTTTTTTTTTTTTTTACTTATTCTGGTGCATGGGCCAATCACAGTCATGTATTCTGAGTACTTTTATACTGAGTTGCATTATATTATAGTGAAAACAACAACAACAACAACAACAACAACAGAAACAACAACAACAACAGAAACAACAACAACAACAGCAACAACAACAACAACAACAACAACAACAACAGCAACAACAACAACAACAACAGCAAACAGAAACAACAACAACAACAACAGAACAACAAACAACAAAACAACAACAACAACAGCAACAACAGCAACAGAAACAACAACAACAGCAACAGAAACAACAACAACAACAACAACAACAGCAACAGCAACAGCAACAACAGCAACAGAAACAACAACAACAACAGCAACAGAAACAACAACAACAGCAACAACAACAACAGAAACAACAACAACAACAGCAACAAAACAACAACAACAACAACAACAACAACAGCAACAACAGCAACAACAACAGCAGCAGCAGCAGCAGCAACAACAGCAGCAACAACAACAACAACAACAACAGCAACAACAACAACAGCAACAGCAGCAACAACAGCAACAACAGCAACAACAACAACAACAACAGCAACAGAAACAACAACAACAACAACAACAACAACAACAAAAACAACAACACAACAACAACAACACAACAGAAACAACAACAACAACAACAAACACAACAACAACAACAACAACAACAACAACAACAACAACAACATATGTAATCAGGCCCGTCAACAGAAATTTGGGGGCCCTGGGCAATAATACTCACATGGGCCCCCTTTAATATAAATTAATAAAAAAAAAAAAAGTCAAATTCTGGGCCCTTAAAACCCCGGGGCCCACGTCTTTTGTCTTCCCCCGTCTGCTGCCCTACATATAATTACAAACCGCTTGATTTTTGTTGTTTTGTATTTATTTATGTCCAACTAGAGACAAACAATCACATCTGCAAGAGCTGTGTTCTCTATTTTTTTCTATTAACCAAAATCACACGATGAAGTACGATCATGTATTCATTTTAAATTACTTTTTAAATACAGGTACTACTTATTTTGGGCTCAGTTACTTCCCAGGATTGTTCATTTTACGTATCAGTCTCTTCGAATCTCTTCAAATCAAGCATTAAGAAAGATGATTAACTTGATTTAAAGAGATTCAAATCAAGTTATTCATCTTTCTTAATGTGTGTAATCTGATCTAACCTAAATATGACTTTTTACAGTGTGTGTATTTACAAACCAAACAAATCATCGTCAGGTTTTCCACCAGAATTGGCCACGTTGGGAAAAATGTAGTAAATTGTTCTCAAATAAGAGTACTGCAACTTGAAACAATATTACGGTACGCAAATAGAAGTACAAAATCCGTGTCTCAAAAGTAAAAATAAAGTACTACTCCTGTAAAAGTAAGTGTAAGAGTAACTGTGTGGAAGTAGCATCTGATTTAGTATAAAACTTTTACTCGCAACTTAAAATACTACACTCAAGTACAGGAAAAACGCATCATTAAATGTCTCACAACTATGTCCTTTCACTTTTGTTACGGTCAAATGTTGTCGTGCACGAGGATCTTCTGACAATACTCCTTATTTAGTCCTGTTTTAGTCCTGGTTTAGTCCTAATTTAGTCCTTTTAAATGTCTTCAGTCTTGTTTGGTTTAGACATTTAAGACATTTAATCCTATACCTGGTTTCATCCTGGTTTCGTCCTAGTTTAGACCTGGTTTAGACCTGGTTTAGACCTGATTTAATCCTGATTTGGAGTTGTAGTTTAAGTCCTGATTTAGTCCTTCAGTTTTGTTCAGTCTTGGTTCAGTTAGTCCTGATAAAAAAACTTTGATCATAGCTGGTTTGGACATAAATCAGTCCTGCTTTAAATCTTTGTCTTGGTTTAGTCCTGATTTAGTCCTGATTTGATTGGTTCAGGCCTGGTTTAGCCTTGGTTGGTTCTGGTTTAGTCCTGGTTAGATTGGTTCAGACCTGGTTTTGTAATTGCTTTAGACGTGTTTACTTTCACTATCGCCAGACTCCATCATCTCTCAGATTTCCTCGTGTGAAAAAAGTCCCAAAAGCAAAAAATCAGTTTACAGAGAGTACACAGAACCAGCCTTACCTTTGTCAAAGAGTTAAAATCCAAATCTTTGTGAGTAATTCTGCTGGAGTTGTAGAGTGTCCATGTTCAGCTGGTGAACTGCTGCTGCTGCTGGAACGACTCAAGCACATGCTGTACTTTCACTTTTACTTACTTTGAAAATAGACCAATGAACGCAGACAAGAAACGAAACGAAAGATGAACCAGGTCTAAACCAGGACTAAACCAGGTCTAAACCAGGACTAAACCAGGACTAAACCAGGTCTAAACCAGGACTAAACCAGGACTAAACCAGGACTAGACACAGACAAAACAAGGTTTGAGCTGACAAGACTAATCAAGACTAAACCAGGACTAAACCAGCACTAGACGCAGATTAAACCAGGAATAAACCAGGACTAAACCCAGAGAAATCCAGGCTTGAGCTGACAGGACTAACCAAGACTAAATCTGGACTAAACTAGGACTAAACCAAGACTAAATCAGGACTAAACCAGGACTAAACCAAGAATAAACTAGGACTAAACCAAGAATAAACTAGGACTAAACCAAGACTAAATCAGGACTAAACCAGGACTAAACCAAGACTAAATCAGGAGTAAACCTAGACAAAATGAGATTTGAGCTGACAAGACTAATCCAGACTAAACCAGAACTAAACCAAGAATAAACTAGGACTAAACCAAGACTAAATCAGGACTAAACCAGGACTAAACCCCAACTAAATCAGGACTAAACCCAAAGAAATCCAGGCTTGATCTGACAGGACTAACCAAGACTAAAGCTGGACTAAACCTTGACTGAACCAAGACTAAATCAGGACTAATCCAGGACTAAACCAAGACTACGTCAGGGCTAAACCCAGACAAAACAAGGCTTGAACTGACAGCACTAACCAAGACTAAACCAGGACTAAACCCAACAGAACCAAACTTCAGCTGGCAGGACTAAACCAAAACTAAACCGAGACTAAGCCAGAACTAAACCAAGACTAACCTGGATTGAACCAGAACTAAACCAGGTCTAGACCAAATCAGAACTTGAGTTCACTTTTCACTCTTTCATTCCTCAGCATAAATAATGACATAATTACACAAGCGCTCTTGTCTGTAAAAATAAATAAATAAATCATCAGTTGATATAGGCCATTACTGATACATAATGCACATAAAATAATAATATAATAATGCACAATATTATGACATCATTTTATTGATAGATAAAAATAACTTACATTAAACACATTAAAAATATGAATATACAGCAGAAGTGATTGTATGATACAAAAACATGTGTAACAGCAGAGCTACAGTTTGGTCTGTTTCTCCTCAGACGCACTCAGGTCATAAGACTCTTTTTCCTCCACACTCTTTTCCTTCTTCACTCGTCTCCTGTTTAAATAAATCAAATATTAATCATACGTAATGACAAAACTCATATTCAGTTCTTAAAAGGTGCACAGAGTCACTTTTCAGGCTTGTCTCCGTGGAGATGTTCCACAGTAAAGCATTAAAAGTGTGCATGACAGGTTTTTATGTTTGACTTGAGATGTAATGTTCAAAATGCAAAGACAATTTATGTGTAAGGATGTTTTTTTTTTTTTTTCCGACACTTTTAACATTTGACAAAATAACAACAAAATAAAGGTGTCGTTTGATGAAGTGCCCATATTAAACTATTCTGATCTGTTTTTGATTCTCATCACACACAGACCTGGAGTTGTGTTTTGTTTCATTTACACATTTTATTTAACCTTTATTTAACTTTATTTAACCAAAATAGTCCTTCTGAGATGAAGAATCTCTTTCAGGGGAGGCCTGGCCTCCCTATTGTACATGTTTTTAGTGGTGGGCATCCAGAAGAAACCTACACAGGCACAGAGAGAAGATGCAAACTCCGCACAGAAAAGCTCCACGCCGCCACAGAATCAAACCCAAAGTTCAAATTTCAAAGTTTCAAAGTGTGGGTGTGGGTGTGGGTGAGTGCGGTTGCAGAGAGGGGAGTGGTGCACCAGTGAGCTTCCTGACTGTGTTCACTCTGTGGAGCTGCAGGGTTCTCCTGTTGTGGTCAGTGCAGCTTCCGTCCCACACAGTAATGCATCTGAAAGAATGCTTTTAGTGTTTCTCTGTAGAATGTGCTGTGGTCTCTCTGAAAGACGACAACAGTCTCCTTAGTCTTGCTGACATTCAGCTGGAGGTTGTTGTCTCTGCACCACGTCGTCAGAAGGTCGACTTCTTTCATGTAGTGGGTCTCGTCGCCCTTGGTGATGAGACTAGAGATGTGTCGTCCACCAACTTCACCCAAGACCTCACCCACCGCTGTTGTGAGCTGAGAGTCTCACCACTTTACCACCGTGCTGCTCTAATACATGTTAACACACAAACCCTACATATTTAGTTTTTCTCTGAAAGTTCTCTGTTCACTGCAGAGCAGTTTGGGCTTTGGGGATGTAGAGGATTACTCCAACATGTGAATGAAACAAAACACTGGGCACATTTTTGAGGAAATAACTACTGACATGACTTAAGTTCACAAAAGTCCATTTTGTGTAATATAACTTTTTGTCTAATTGTACATTGTTGTTTAAGAAATATTAATTATAAAATTTACAAATAAATAAATAAATAAATAAAATTAAATAAATAAATACATAAATAAATATATTTTTTTTTGTAAAACAAATCAGTCCTCTAAACTGTCATATGCACTTTATAACTTAACCATCGTCATGGAGACAAGAAGTGGCTTTCCCCCCACAGTAAAAGTTACACAGTGCACCTTTAAACAGTGAACAGAATATAAATCACCTGCATATTGGCTGCATTTCTTCGATGGTTTCAGGTAAACTCCGGCCAAAAGATTCTGGTAAAATGAGACTCAGCAAAGCTCCGGTGAGAGCGAGACAGCCCATGATGATGTAAGGAAGAGCTTTGTAGAAGCGTCCTGAACACAACACACACAAACAACACACAAACAACACAACACAAACACACACACAACACACACAACAAACACACACACAACACACAACAACACAACACACACACACACAAACAACACACAAACACACACAAACACACAAACAACACACACAACACAACACAAACAACACACACAAACACACACAAACAACACACACAAACAACACACACAACACACACAAACACACACAAACAACACACACAAACAACACACACAAACAACACACACAAACACAACACACACAAACAACACACACAACAACACACACAAACAACACACACAAACAACACACAAACAACACACACAAACAACACACAAACACACACACAAACACAACACAAACACAACACAAACACAACACACACACAACAACACACACAAACAACACACACAAACAACACACAAACAACACACAAACAACACACAACACAAACACACACAAACAACACACACAAACAACACACAAACAACACACACAAACAACACACACAACACACACAACAACACACACAACACACACACACAACACACACAACAACACACACAACACAACACACACACAAACAACACACACAAACAACACACACAAACAACACACACAAACAACACACACAAACAACACACAAACAACACACACAACAACACACAAACACAACACACACAAACAACACACACAAACACAACACACACAAACAACACACACAAACAACACACACAAATAAAACACACAAATAAAACACACAAACACACACAAATAAAACACATTCAGGTCAGTTATATTAGTTATTAATCATTAGTCATAAGTTATATTTCTTCTCAATAAAACTACATAAAAAACAGCCTCATCAGAATGACTGATAATGACAGAAACAGTGTCTCAAATTACATTTGTGTCAACTAAAACTGCTAATAATTTGGTTGAATAATAAAAACACAAATAAAATATACAAAAGGAAAGGAACCCCTGTTCAACCCACATCAGAACTACAATTTATATTTTTAATGTAAGAAAACATATTTAAAATTTGCATTTTATTAAATAAAACTTGACTACAACTAAGATCATTTCAGTCAAAATACTAAAAAAATAAATTACAAATGTGATCCAAAATGAATACTGGTATCAGAGTGATGCAAAATTAGGACCTTTGGCAGATTAACAATTCATCTTCAGTCCTGGAAATGGCATCATGAAACATACATAAACAGCCCAACAGGGTCAAATGGTCAATGGCCACATTTTATACAAGACTTTTCCACTTTCAAGATTTTCAAAGCACTTTGCATCAAGGAACCACCAGTGTACACAGACACAATGACACAATGACAGCATTCATCTGTGGGAGCTGGAATTGCACCACCAACCTGTGGGTCAGTGGATGTGAGCATCTGTTTATGTTGAGAGAAGAACATCACAACAGACCACTTTGCTTTGATATCCACAACTCAAGAGGAGGTCATTTGACTTACTAGTTTATATTTTACACTTTGTACATGTGTTTCCAAACACACTTCTAGTCTCTTTTCCACTGGCACATTCTCTTGGAGCTGGTTTGTTTAGTGCAGAGCTCTGCTTCTTAAGACACTGACGTAACCAAAACATAAATAATATTTACTTTATACTTCAAATATCTTCTAAATGGTATCTGAATCTTTCTCTTGATCATAAGGCTGATTCCAGAGTTGTGTGTCTCTGAGACGAAGTTGATGTAAACATTAAACTACTGCTGGTTTATTCTCATCTTTTTCTGCATTGATTTCACTTCTCAACACCTCTGCACTGTGTTTTTGTGTCTCTTTATGTCATTTGTTGGGTTTAATAGTTTTAGTTACATTATACACTGCAAATGCATCGTTTTTCTTGGTGTTGTGCATGGATACATTTCAGCTCAATATGTAAGTGACATCACTGGAAACACGGAACTACGGCCAAACCCCCTGGAAGGTAATGCCTCCTGCTTTATTTGTTTTTCAGAACAATAACTACAATCACAAAATCACAATATAAACTGTAGTGTCTTGAGTGGCAGCTCAGTGTTTATGTAGATCATGTAGATCTGTGCAGTCAAAGTTTAACTCTGACTTTTATTACCCTTGATCCTGTCAATGATCCACACATGTGAGCGAGGGCACAGGGCTCTGCACTGCTGAACACGCACTAATGCTCAGAGTGCTTATCACAGCGTTTCACATTCTAATTATTACTTGGTTTGGTGGGATAGTGCCTATGCTAGCACAGTTGTACATTATTTAAGCGGTACTTTCTGGAAAAAAAAAAAAAAAGCATTTGAAGAAAAGTATAAAAAGTAGCAGTGACCCTCTGGAGCTGTATGTATTATGCATGTTTGAGTAATCATAATCCTGTATTCAGTACATCATTGCTCTGTTCTAGCAGTTTTTACCACTTGAATAAGTAGGATTTGGCACTGGGCACCTCAGTTTTCTAACACCAACGTAAGGATTCGTGTTTGTTTTATGAAGTTGATTTAGATGAATTTTGTGATACTATAAAGCAGACCCAAGCACAGGATGTGTTCTGTAAAGATGTTTTAGTGAAGTGCGTCGTGTAACCTGCCTCCGCTCTGTCACTCACCCAGGTAGATGATGAAGGGTGAGATGATGGTGCCCACACGTGCTGCCATGGAGCAGCAGCCCATGGCCGTGTTCCGGATTACTGTGGGGAAGAGCTCCGAGGAGACGGCGTACACGATACAGAACGCCGCCGTGATGCCAAACTTCCCCAACATTTCCAGCACCACACCGATGGCAGGGAGGTCTACAGCAGGCACAGATCAGAATGAGAGAGGATCAGGCCATGGTGAACAAGGTGCAGCTGGACAATTAGCCCATAGACCTTTTCACAACGACTGGAAGTGCCTCGCTGTAGGGTAAACATCCAGTTAATGCTTTTCTATGGCAAAATATCTGTAGAAATGTCTGGCATATTTTACACCAGCTTCACAAATCTGCCCCATCACCAAATCTTCAACCAACAAGGTCCACAAAGGATAAACATTCTAAGATGAAGAATTTATCCACAACAATTAAGGTAAGAAAGACGAAACAAACAACTGAACTCGTTATGGTCTTGAATAAAACACAAGTAACTTATTAACTCAGACTGATTCTACAATTAAAATTAAAAATCAATTTCATGATGTAGATATGAACATAGACAAAGAGATTTATGCAGTTTGAATGAGAGACATGTAATCTGTGAACATCTCAAGCATTCAAACTGTACAACTGTACAACTGTTACTTATTACTTCTGTTTTATTCATGGCCATAATATTAGTTTTGTTCAGTGTGTTACTAATATATCATCTTTGTTCTCCTTTAAGCTTTCATCTTTCTTCCCTTGATAGTTGTGGATAAATTCTTCATGTTAGAATGTTTATCCTTTGTGGACCTTGTTGGTTGAAGATTTGGTGATGGGGCAGATTTATGAAGACATTTTTCCATAGGGCCCAGTCAAGCAGAAGTAAACAACAAGGCCAAAAATTCAAGTTAATGCATCTGATATAAAAATGTATTGAACAGATACATATGTACTCTAGTTTATGAAACTGTTGACCTTTTTTCTGTACCATTTTTGGTTCTAAAGTTCCATATGTTTTAAACAGACAGTTTTTTTTCTTTGAGAAAACATGCCTAAAGCTCAGAAGAATTAGTATTATAATAATAACAATTATTATTATTATTATTATATTATTATTATTATTATTTTGGCACAAATTTGGCAATCTTGTGCCGAATTGTCATTTTGTATACACAAAGGCTCACAGCATCAAAACCCTTTGTCCTAGAGATCTGAAATTCTACACAGTTGTTGCCAACAACTTGAACAATGAGTGTAGTGAGTCACAAATGCCTAGTATGAAGTATGACCAAGCTAAGGCCTTTATTTTTTTCTATTTTTTTTTTCGAAGCAAAAAAATAATTTTTTTTTTTTCAATTTTAATTGACTGTACTGTAGGTTAGGCAGCACTCACAGTCTTCATGTACATATCTACAGAAACTAGAAGGCCTAAGCTTTAAAATGGTGCCTCACACAAGCATGTGGGTTCTAAGGTTTTCTTTTAATAAGCTATGGCATTTGGGCATGTCTTACCATTGTGCACACACCAAAATGAGGCGGGTGGCAACAGGTTAAAATGATAAAAATTTGCTTGGAAGGACTGACATATTTTACAGAAATAATTTCCTTTCATTTTGAAGTAATATTAAAGTATTTGGAAGAAAAAAGTGACAAATGATGTAAAATCCTGCACCTTCTACTTGTTTGCACAATTTTCCCTCCGTTACTTTTCCCTCTGTTACCATGACCTTTCTTAATAAAAAATCTCATGAGTCAAAAAGTCAGAGGTTTTTCATCCTAATCTTGTACCATATGGTAGAAAACTATATGAAGCAAATATTCAAACCAGTTTGTTAAGGATATGTAAGTGAGAACCAAGAGTTATCACTGTTTGGATTTATTGCCCAAAAAGTGCTGCATATTTCATTCCCTCTGTTACCGACATGAGTTTTAAAAATTTTTTGTCAACAACTTGAAAGAATATCACAGGTTTAACTTGACCCTGTTGGAGTGTAACTCTTTCCTACATTCTGATACTTTACTTATTTCAATAGTTCCTCTAGTTTCTGAATAAGAGACATTTGAATGTCAAAAATCTGCCCCTGTTTCCCTCCGTTACCACTTGACCAGACACCATAGAAAATCATTAACTGAAAGTCCCGCAAACCTACAGCGAGGCACTTTCGGCCGTTGTGAAAAAGGTCTACTGGACCGGTTTTTCATTGATGGAGGAGACACACTGAGACTCTGTGACCTCACTGTGAGGTGATGTAAACACTGCTCTACTAAGTGGACAGGGCGAAGGGAATGTGCACTTACTAACAAAACAAAAGACTGAAGTGCTTCTCTACACAGAGACTTAAAGGTCCTCTGATGGTGTATCGTGGTTCTGTCTGCTCTCTTATTTCTGTATGTTCAGTGCTGGATGGTGACCGTATGGGCTTATGTAGTGATGTGTTTTCTTTGTGTTCAAGTAAATAATATTACAGATTATTTTCTGATCTCTGTTAAATTGTAGTTTCTCATCAAAAACATATCTGGAGTTGTGTTTTGTTTCATTTACACATGTTTAACAAACAAACCCTGCAGATTTAGATTGAGTTTTTCTCTCAAACTGAAAACACTTCCACCTTGTGATGTCATGTAGTAATACAGGAAGTGTTCTACTGTGTTTTTAAACTCCATACAACTTCACTGGAATCACTTGGATAATTTCAGCTCAGATTTGCTAATCTCTTCTTGAAAATAGCCGCTTCATGACATCACAGGGTGGAGCAGAGCATTTTGAGCTTTGGAGATGTAGACAGACTAATAATAAAGTGTTACTCAAACATGTGTGAATGAAACAAAACCTAACTCCAGGTGGTGTTTTTGAGGAGGGAACAATTATAATACAGTTTAGAGCTCACAAGAGTCAAGTGTATAATAAGGTTTTCATGAGTACAGTACCGTACCGAATGGAATAAGGTGAACACACAGGATCATGACTCCCCCGGTGAGCAGCGTGGACGACTGGCAGAAGCGTCGTGCCACGAACTTAAGCAGGATCAGAGCGATGATGTAAGCCGGTACTTCAGTCACCGCCGAGAGGAAGCAGTTTAGGTACGGGTCGCCATGGAGATTGGACGTGTTCAGGAGCAGAGCGTAGTAACTCAGTGTGATGATGACCCTGGAGAGAGAGGATCCAAATGTCCACGTGTAGGAACTGTGTTGGACTTACTCTGTAGTTCACTCTATAGGCCTAATCAGTGTCTCAAACAAATGGGTTAATCATTATTTACTCTCATTTCAAACCTGCTTTAGCTTCAGTCTAGTCCAGTTATAAAGAGCTTTTTACAACTGTAAGCTTTTCTGCTGTTGTCCTGACTCAACAATTCATTATTAATTCCAGTACTTATTTTGACCCCAAGAGCTACCCCTCTTCCTTCTCAAAATGCATGATATATAGGTCTTTTACAGACGCTATAGGCTACTTCATGTAATAAAATGTATAGCTCTTTTTTTTTTTTTTTTTTTTTTTTTTAATGTATTTTGAAATAGAGGATTAGACTAAAATGAAACTGGGACTCACCATAAAGCGCTGCACAGTAAAGTAGTAAAAAATAAGTTGCAGTCTTGGAAAATAGCGATGATGTTGTATTTCTTGTCTTTTTTAGCCAATGTTTCTTCCACCTGAAATAAAGACAGAGACAGTTTCAGTGTGAGCCCGGTTTGGGCTGTGTCAGGTGTGCACCTGCACAACATCCTGTCACCTCCTGCTGTTGTGTATGTAACAGGTAAACAGGTACAGTGTATAGAATTGCCTGGTGCTTTTCGATGATGTACGTCATAGATGTTCTGTTTCCTACTTTGCCTTGGTGTTCTGTACCAGGCCCATGTCCTTTAGACCAAGTGTGACAGGTTTACTGCTGGATTGTATATCTGTACATATGTCTGTATCACACATAGGGCTGTGCTCTTGCTCTCTGTCACAGGTTCATAAATGGAGGGACATGTTTGTCTCTTGTCCTCCAGTATTTGGGCCTGTCTCTCAGTACAGTTCTGTTTATGTGTGAAACTTCAGTAAAACAAACACTAACAGAGAGTGTCAGCTGAAAGCATCATAGTGACAACATTTAAAGCTGCAGTGAGTGTGAGTGTGAGTGTGTGTGTGTGTGTGTGTGTGTGTGTGTGTGTGTGTGTGGGGGGGGGGGGGGGGGGGGTGTGGGTTTGTGTGATCTGACCTCAACTTTGGTGAACAGGGGCGATGGAACTTCCACATTATTGCATTTTGCTGCTTCTCTCAGAATGGCCTCTGCCTCCTCCACTCTGCCCTGAGACAGCAGCCAGCGAGGAGACTCAGGGAGCAGCCTGCACACACACACACCAGCACACGCATCATACATGTGTTCATACACACACACCACACACCAGCACACACACATTGTGATATATACATGTGTTTATACACTGTTTAAACAAGGTATTTTGCTATTATGTCAGTGTGCAGCTTTGTTGTAATGATGTTTGCAGACCGTGTATGGAGCTATTTCAGATAAAAATTGCCATTTCAAATGTCCAGACTATAACATATGGATCCAATAAAAAAGGATCCAAGGAGAGAATTCCATTGTGCACTCCTCCTCCAGCTCCTCTCCACCGCAGCAGCAGAACCATCAGTCTCCTCAGCCTCTTCATTTCCTCCTCATATAGTGGAAACCTTTTATCATGGAGCAGGAACCTGGGAAAATGCTGTGTGACTTTTTTAAACAGCACAAAAGGTGATTTTAAACCATGAAAGTTTCTAAATGATACACTTGAACACAATGAAGTAGGTCACAGATAATAACTGCTCTTATCAGCAAATCTCAAAGGCTGCAAGTTTTCAAGTACCGTCATTTCCTCCACAACAAAATCTCCTGTCTTCTTCAGCATAAAAACTGATAACCCTGACAGGACGACCGTAAGGGAACCTGACATAATGACATCTGAGAATGGAAGGGCATCTGACACACAGGGAGGATGCTCTTACCACCACAGCGGGACATAGATGATTGAGCTGGCTGCCATTGAGATGAGTAAAGTCCTCCAGTCCCTGAGGAAGTACGCCACAGCGGGCATGGCCATGTACCCTATGGCCGAGGGCATGAAGACGCCCAGAGAACAGAACGTCACACGGGCCTTTGGGCTCAGAGTCTCTGTACCTGAGAACAGAGGGAATAAATGCATTTAAATCATTATACTTCCAAATCAGTATTTTAAAGACCCACTGTGTAACCTATTAGCTAAAAATAGACTATTTTCTTCATTCCTCATGTTGGATATTTTATTGTTTTATTATCAGAACTATAGACTCTATACTGTATATTAGGGTGAGCAGACATCCCTATTTACCCAGGACAGTCCCAGTTTTGAGCCCTGTGTCTCCTGTCCCAACAGATTTATCCAAAACCAGTGATTTGTCCCAGTTTTATACAAGAAATCTCCCAGGTGTCCCTATTTTTGACCAATCTGATCCCTGCCATCAGTAAATAGAGGCATACCTTGTGATTTCTTTAGGTAAAATACAGAAAAGCATCTTAAAAATGACCAAAACACAAAGAAAATGTGACTATACTGACTCTCATGTCATGAATGATCTTTGCAGATCAATTTTCCTTAATTACGCACTCGTTCCACAATTTGATACCAACTAGAGTCCTGCACCCGTGGTCCTGACACAAAACAGTGTGGCGTGGGTCACATTTTGAAATTTCATTGCGGGACCGGGCGGAAGCAGCACTGCACAATGTGGGAGCAGGCTGGTGGGATGATAAACTGCAGTCTCGTAAACTAAGTATGAGTGTAAAGTAAAATATACAAATGATGAATGTATGCCTATCATACATTATTTCTGCTGGATGTTTGATTTGGCATTAATAAAGCAGCCGAAACATGTACAAGGTAAATACACTTTACTGTACTATCGTTAAAAAGAAGCCAAGAAGTTAAAGCACATAAGAAGACAAAATGAACATCTGTGGTTTAGCCTCGCTCCTGATTGGCTCTTTGGTGACTATGACAATAGAGCTCAGAATTCCAAATAAGGAACTTGGCTCTAAATTTACCCCTGTCTGCCAGCTTCAACGAGCTTCATGTGAATGAGTGACGTCACACTCCCTTAGTCTACTTCTTTACACAGTCTATTGAATAATAAAGACTCAGTCAAGTAAAAACTATGAAAATGCTCAAATCAGCCACAATGTGAATCTAATTACTCTACTTTAGTGCCCCGGACATTCCTGCTACATTCACAGTTACAAACACACACAAAAAGGAAATAGTACCTAACACAAATGCAATGATGTAGTTGGAGAATCCTCCGCCTCCAGCGAAGAAGAAGATGAAGGTGAAGATCTCCCAGTTTGGAGAGAAGATCTGAGCGGCCACAGACACAGTCTGAAGGACCATCATGAGGAACAGCGCCGGCTTCCTCCCCCACCTGCAACAGCCACTGGCTTACATCTGGTCTTTCTAAAGTGTGATTTGATTCACCCTAAACTATGTTAGCAATCATGGCTAGTGGGACGTCCAGCTTGGATCATGGTTGTTTTAAATAGTACAGAGTATTTTTTCACCAAATGCTTTTGTGTCACCTGTCTGAGATCTGGCCCGAGAGGAAGGCCCCCACCAGGACGCCTACATAGTGGATGGAGGTGGTGAGGGGCATTTTGTAGGCTTTGTCACACACCAGGTCCCACTGCAAAAGCAAACACAAGTGTGGAGTTTACAAAATGAAAACATGTCGAACGTGAAGCTAGTTCACCTAACCAGTGACGTGAGTGACTTTCACACAAGGAGCCTTGAGCTTGATATTCATAGACACACATCGGTCGTGTCATACCCACCAGTGTCAGTTCCTCGCACTGTGTGGTGTGTTTTATAAAACAAAAGAAATAAAATCCTTCAGTGGGCCTCAGACTTTAGGCTCACAAAAAAATGTTCATGTTCTTGGTTTGCCTGAATTATTCCACACTGCAGCATCAAACATCTGATCTGATCTATACCCACATGAGCAGGTGTTAAAGAAGCAGGCTGTCTATTCTCAAATGGGCTGCTCATGTTTTGATGCAGCTAAAAAAAAGCTCAGAGGGTGGAGGGGGCTGGTGGGGTGTATCAGTTTATAGTTTGCAGATACCCGACTGCTCTGTCCTTGTATAGCTCCAGAAATAACAGTATTTAAAGGTGCACTGTGTAACTTTTCTGGTGCAGGGGCAGTAATCCGCTGGTCTCTATAGAGATGTTATTGCTCCACCTTAAATATTCAAGTGCCGTGACAAAAAATCTCTCCATGAAAACCAGCAGGTGTTGCAACCACATACGAGAAGATAAAGTTTATTGTCCCAAAAACACAGTTACACTCATCACACTGCAGTCAGACAAGAGTCAGACTCATCACAAGATACACGTGTGTCCATTATGAATGTCCACTGTCCACTTGTCCACTGTCCACTAAGTGTCCAAGTTATTGCACCAGCCCTATTGCACAACTAATGATTGCACTGTTGAATATAATTACACAGTACAAGTGACATCTGTGGAGAGGTGAGCTGCTCACAGTAACAGGCTAATTCCACTGTACACAGCTCCTCTGTGCCTCACCATCCTTCAGCTAGATTACAGATCAGGTCTGTGTTCTCCTCCTCTGGGGTCCGGTCAGATCAAGCTCCACATCAGAACACCCCACACAAGAAGGAAACAGCATCCAGACTCCACACAGACTTTATTTCTCCTCATACACCTGTTTCATTTATGACTCTACAAGTAGATGTTTCGATGAACAGACTGAGTACTTCATGTCACTGAAACAGCACCATGTGAAATCTTTTATTGAACCTCCTCAGATAACAGTTTATTCCTTTATCACCTTCAGGGTGACAAAATATAAACTGCTGTGATATGAGCTGATACAGTAGTTATGCTTTAGAGTAAATCATTATTTTGGTCTTAAATGAGGACTCTCATTTGACAGGTGCATGCTCCTGTCGAGGAGCTCCTCAAGAGGAAACGGAAACATCCCACGAGCCAGAGGGCGCTCTAGAGCAACGGGCATGAAATGGAATAGGCCTGCAAGAATGCATGTTTTACAATGTATTTATTTCTTTAACCTTAAAGTGCTTGACTCCTCAAAGCACCAGCAGAGGTGGAGTCTTTGAGCCCTCTGTTGGCCAGTGTGGTGCTTTGCATCCCGAGAAATCAAGAGTGAGTACATTTTTTTTGGTGATTTCCTGATTAGCCCGTTTGTAACTATAACACATGGGTTCTAACTACAGCAGGATATAGTTCTTGAAAGGTGCTGAGATGATCATTCTTTTATGGGAGTTAAATGTGTGAGTGTTTTTAAAATAGAAATAGGCTTAATATAGGCTGTTCTATTTAATAGATTCATATTGGCAGTGTTACCTCTGTTACTATGGTGGACTGGTAGATCTCTCTGCTGTAGCTCCATCCATCCTGACAGTTCTCCAGTGGCACTACACTCACGTTCACGTCCACGTCCGGCTGCAGGTTCCTCTCAGAGTAACTCTGAACCATCGTCAGGTTTAGTCTGGAGCACGAGCTGCGCTGGGTGACTCCATTCACACTTTCCATTGGCACAGTTACGTTCCTCCAGGCTTCACTGATATTATAAGAGTCTGGGACATAGCACTGATGAGGCGGCGTGTCTCCCACAAATACGATGTAAATCCCAATGAATCCATTTGGGAGGATGCTAGCTGCAAGAGCCAGAAACACTCTGCGCTGGAACGGCCCCCAGGAGCCAAGAAAAGATGTGATAGTGTCGTAATCCCGCACCGTGGAGCTCTCCATGTTTGAAACGTATATTAAAAACACAGCTCGGGGTGAGTGAGTTGTTTTGGTCTGTCATGATAAGATGAACTTTCCACCACTGTGTGTCTTTATAACCTCCACAGTGCACCTCCTCCAGCCTCGTTCACTCACCCGTCATTGGCTGATTTTATACAAGGATTACGTAAATGAAACATTCACTATGGAATTTTGTCATTTTGAAAGAGTAAAAAATGGTCATGTCATCTTTATTTCATTATAACACCAGAAAAGAGATCAACCACAAGTGCAAAGTGCAAATTGAACGACAGATGAAGTTAATTATTTTCTCTACTTGAGAGAAAGAGTGACAAAGTTCAATTTGGTGTAAGTAATATTCTCAGAAGCCATAATACAGTTATATAATCTAGCATAAAAACAAGGAACCCTTCACTGTAGGGTTCCACGTAACGAAAATATGGAATATTATCACATCGTCAAGCTGTTCATGGAAAAAGGAACATTTTCTCAAACCTCAATCAGTTATGAAATAAAAGATAAAGTTCTTTGTGCAAATCTGCTTCACATTTCAAGTCTGAATCAAAGCCCTGTACATTTTTGTGACGCTTGTCTCCCTTCAGTGGGCACTCAAAGCTCTTAACTCACCACTCACATGCTTTCATACACCGGTGTAGTGATTGTGGGTCTGGGATTCGAACCACCAACTTTTGGATCAGTTGCCTGGGATTCAGAGTACACACTACTTCAATACTTTCTTAATATGTGAGTCTGGTCACTGGTGAATCTTCCACAGTTCAGATGGGTGTGAGTGACAGGTGGATTAGCCAGTGAGGGAAACAAATATGACTGTTTATGAGGAAAGAAAAAAAAAAAAAAAAAGCACAAAAAAATCGAGGATTTCTGTAGAATCAATGATTGAACCATCATTAAGTGAAGTACCACTGCTGGTGTGTGCCACCCATGACATTACTTGTATCTGTCATTTGTTACCATTGTTAGTGTGCTTATGTTGTACTACTGAGCTGTAACAGTTACTCATTGTCTGCACTTGTAAATAGTTCTAATGTAAAATGTCTTTGTTGAAAACAAAAAAAAAAAACAAAAAAAAATTGTGTTAGATTAGAAGTGTGGGGATGGGATTAAATACGTTTTATTCTTCCCACTCCTTTTTGGGCAAGTTTTTTGTAGTTTTTATTTCTTATTATATATATCTTCACTAATGTTATATGTTCCATTGTATAAGAATGTAAATCTTTACTTGTCCAAAATAAATACATAAATAATTTAAATAAAAGTGAAGCTCTATATTGTTCATCTGAGATGAGAGAAATGTCATTTTGTTTGTAAATGATGATGACCAATATGCTTCTTTGTTTCACATGTGTCACTAAAATAAACTCATCTGATTGGATGGTCATGTTTGGTTCTGGCTCAACGTGTGACGGAGCGAGTGGACCAGAGTTATATATATATATATCTGTATAAACAGTGCAGACAGACAAAGCAATCAGATCAGACAAACACTCTGAACTGAGACACTACAGCTCACTATTGGGCTGACATGTCTAATTTTAGATCACGTTTGGCTCTTATTTAGGCCTATGCAGTGTGGGGTGAAATCTGGTGCTATACTAGAACGCCAACTATCTTAGATGGGAAACAACTTGGCGGGAAACATCTGAGAGGCACTGAATATGTTTCCAAAGCCCTCTCAGGCCTGGTCAGAGCAATAACATGTACAGTCACGCTAAAGACAGACGTGACAGCAGAGAGAGTGAGGCCACTTCACACAAGAACACACATAGTGTCTTTCACACCGTAGGCCTGTTGTGTTCAGATAAACACACTTCTGGATGGAAATGAAACATTTTCCATGTGTAAAGAAAAGCCCCTCAGACCCTGGTCAAAACAACACCACTGCCACTATAGTGATGCTAATGAGGCTGTGGCTGTGACGCAGAAGCACCACGGGGCTGGAGTAAAGCCCTGTGCCCCAACAACACACAGCACAAGTATACAGCCAGGGAAAATCTGATCACTCATTAATCAGAACAGATTTTTGGTGTGTGTTTAAATGCACCAAAGAAATCTGAGCATCAAAAACACTGGTGACGTGTTAATCACACAGACAATAACCTACAATGAATTGAAAAACATTTTACATCATTAGCATTTCTCATTCATTTTGGTCTTTACCACATTAGTTTGCTTTTTTTTTTTGCATTTGTCGAAACCTGTGCAGGTGTAAACATAAGTATATATATAAATAACTCCTGACTATAGAGGGACAGATAATACTCCCTACAACTGTACAACAACTTACCCTTATGTAACAGATAATACTCCCTACAACTGTACAACAACTCACACTTATATAACAGATAATACTCCCTACAACTGTACAACAACTCACCCTTATGGAACAGATAATACTCCCTACAACTGTACAACAACTCACACTTATCATATCATTGTTTTTTTCCTGTGAACTCTTGTATAAAGCTGTTATTTTATTACTTATCTATTTTATTTTGACTTATACATTTATTTATTTATTTAATATACTTATATCTTATTTGACACGTGTCTCTTTCTCTCTTTTGCTACTTATTTAGAATGTATTATTACCATTTATATTTTTACTCTTTGTTATTATATTATATTGTTATGTGTGAGTTCCTGTGTCCAAATGATTTCTCTTGTGGATCAATAAAGTTTGTCTAAGTGAAAGAAGCTCGGGTCCTTACTGAAACTAGGAAGTACGAGCACATAAGTCCTGGTCTCAGGTCTCTGCACTGACTCCTGTGGCTCAGAGACTTTAAAGTGTCTCTGTTTGTACAAGTCTCTCCATGGGCCGAGCACCAAAGTCCATCTGTGACATGTTAGTGTCATATGAACATCTCACACTCTGAGGAGCTCAGGGACCACCTCCTGCTGGTGCCCAGAGTCACGACTAAACAAGGGGAGTCAGAGTTTCAGGTTCATGCAGCTAAAACCTGGAACAGTCTGAACATGTGAGACAGACTCTTCTGTGACGCTGTTTAAATCCAGACTCTAAACATTTCTGTTTAACTGTGCAAATAACTGAAAGGTTTTCATTCCGCACTCTTCTCTCCAATTTATGTCTCTCTTTTTTAATTTTAATCTTCATGATTATTTATGTTTTGATTTGTTTTTATTATGATTTTAATGTATTTCTTATTCTGTAAAGCATTTTGAATTACTTTGTGTGGGAATTGTGCTGTACAAATAAACTTGCCTTGCCTTGCCTAAGTCCAGATATAGATATACTCCAAATATACTCCAAATATACTCCAGATATACTCCAAATATACTCCAGATATAATCCAAATTTGCTGCTTTAACTGCTAGCCTCATGAAATTAATTTGACTGGAGCCACATGTGGTGGATGACCTCACACTCCCTCAGTTCAGTTCTTTAATCTATGGGTGTGAACAATCATAACAAATTTGATTACTCACATCAGCTGTGAGTGTTTACATTTCAATAATCTGATTACTCCTGAAATCAGATCAATATTAGATTTCGGTGAGTTTCTCCATTATCCTTTACCCCACATTTCTTCTTCAAATACCATGCAGTAACTGAATAAAACAAACTAAAAACAGTCAAAATTATGAACAGGTATTTTCTAACTACACAAATTGCAACATTAGTTATTTTTGTGAAGTACAGAAGGTACTAGTACTGTACAGTTTGTTATTACTATTGTAGAGTCTTCATCATGAAATCAAGTAACTGTAACCTACTACTTGTCAATATGTACTTGTCAGAATAATTCTATTATCCCATATTTGCTAAATACTTGTGTGATATTCTTTGCCTATGAGTTAACCATTTATGTACTACAATTCTTTGATTTATAATGTACCAATCACTTGTATGAAAATGAATAACCTCTGTGTGTTTGACAACTGTGTGCAGTGTCCTATCGCTCTAGTGAACCTCCAGATGATTCCTCACATGAAGCCAACTCCCACTGTCACACATGAAGAGTTATGATGGTGTCTGACCTAAGGCACCTCCTGTTTGTTAATCATGTTTTATGTGTTTGGACTATGCATAGCTTCATCAGTTTCTTATTATGTCTTTGCTGGTTTCCCCTTCCCCTTGAGAATTATCATTCTGTAACTAGGGCCTCCTAATGAAATAAAAAGAGGAGAGCGGCCTTGAGTCATCAGAACGTGTGGAGACTGTTGGTTTTGATGCCCACTCTCTGCCCGTTCTCCTCATGAGTAAAACTGAATTAATCTCTTGTCTTTCTTCTTGTTTTTAATGTTTAGATAAACCTAACAGTACTGTATCTCTCTAAATGATGAAAAATTAGATCTGCTGATATGATATTTAAGAATTTTAAACTATTCTCTTCTTAGAATGACGAAACGTTCTCAAGTGATTGGAGATAACAGGTAGCTGAATCCTGTGGTGAAAGAAAAAAGACTCTTTTATTTGAGTGATGCTACTGTGCACGCTCCCTGTTTAGTTTCACCTAAAAATTCCTTCCTTATGTTTTCAGACAGACTTTGGATGTACGTTATCAACCTTATTCTCATCATCGTCGACCTTTAAAGCGTGTACATCTGAAGTTGTACAGCCAGAGTTGTGATTTGCAGTGTAAAATACATAACATTTACTGGGGTCATTTCCCAGTTTTTCTTCATAAAGATATCACATCTAACGTGAGTGCCTTATCTGACTGTAAAAGAGATAGGACACAACACAAGGCTGAGTTTCTTGTGTGTCCCTGAGTCAGTTTAATCAGTGAAAACAAACATACAGAGCAATAATCTTCAACTTTTTGTGTCCAGTGAGCTGCTTTACACAATGAAAATGCCAGAGAGCTACTCATTTTAGCAGTGGCAAGAAACTGAGTCAGAATAAGAGTCAAGCCTTAGATATTGTACAGTTAGATGCTTCTAAAACCTAAAATAATTATCCATTTATTAGAGCACAAAGCTCAAAATAAAACATTCACAAGTGTGATTACCATATTTTTCGGACTATAAGTCGCACTTTTTTCATGGTTTGGGTGTTTGCTGCGACATAGTGACGTATACTCCGGTGCAACTTATGTATAAAAAAATTCACACTTGACAGTCATGAGAGGCTCTAGTCTTGTGTGTGAGGATCTGCTGCTGCTGTTCCTCCTGCACCACTGTCACTTCACTCTACTGCACATGTCTCCTGCAGAAAGAGCCTCTGTTCTGTCTGTATCATGTCAGTCGATCGCACCGTTACTTCTGCACCACTGAACAATTTAACCTTTAAACAAACTTATAAAGACGACTGAGAAGACTGAACACAAATGCCCCCAAAAACAAAATCAGATTTTGCAGATTACAAACTGCAAGTCGTGAAATCTGCAGCAGAAAACGATAATCGAGCAGCAGAAAGAAAGTTTGGAGTGAGAGAGAAACTTGTGACACCGGGAGGATGCACCATGAAACTTTCCTGAAGTCACTGGATGGATGGACAAAGTCTGGACTTCAGTGACACCGAAACCATCCTGTCGGGATTCAGAAAGACCCGAATAATTCTAACTGGAACTGATACTGAGTCTGACGACAGCGACACAGAAGAGGAAGCGGCGCTCTGTTTACCTCCGGAGGTCGAGGCCGAGTTGTTCAGAAGTGACACCGAGGATGAAGAATTGAATGGATTTAGTGATTTGGAGTGAGATGGAGAGTTTGTTAAACTTGTTCTGTTCTGTTGTTTATGTTATAGTTTATCTGAAGAACTGTTCATATGTGACGTTAACAGTCTGTTGTTCTCTCTTCTATTGTTATTACTACAACTTCACTTTCAACATGAAATGACTGTTCCTGGTTTCTGATTTTATATAAAAAAAAAAAAATCCACAAAAAGTGTGATTTATAGTCCAGTGTTACCTATGTTTTTTCATCTTCATTACACATTTTTTGGCCTTTGAAAATTATACTCCAGAGTGACTTATTGTAGACTTATAACTGGTGAGCTACTGGTAACTCCTGAGCTGCAGGTGGGAGGCCCCTGGTGTGGAGAAATAACAAGGACAGTGATGTCTCTTGTTGGCATTTGAGATTTTTCTAAATAGAATCAGAGGAGTGATTGAACTAGATTCAAGTTTTAAGTGCGGGAAGGTTTATAAGGTTGTGTCTCAGTGTGAAGACCATATGAACACCATAACACAAGACTGAGCCTTACATTTATTGTAACCACAATGTAAAGAAATATTATGTAAATGATAATAAAGTTTATCTAAATAAAGTTTGTCACAGAAAAAAACAAAACAAACAAACAAACAAACAAAACAAAAAAACTCTTAAAAGAATATTAAAGATGCTTTATGTCATTTATCTTTTCTGGTCCTCCACCTGCTTGTCTCCATGGATATGTTATTGTGTAGAATGTTACACACTATTAAGACAACTTGTTTATCTCCATGGAGACGAGCATGTGACACAACCAGACCAAACTGCAAGAATGCACATTTTTGTTCTTTCTGAATGAACAGGTTGACTCCTGTAGGTACAAAACAAGTGACCATGGACCTGTCAATCACCTGTCCACTGAAGAAAAACTCCTTCTTTGTTGGACAGGCTGTAAAAAGAGCTTCTCTCATTTTCTCCATACATAATCTGTAGTAAATCTATCTATATCCTAATACAAAATGCAGGATTTGGCTCAGTGCAGAGATACACTTCCATTTGTGCCATTTTCGACACACTTTCCTTTCTTTGGTCGACTGCAAAAACTGAAAAACAACAAAACAAAAACACAACATATTAAAGACAGAAACATCCCATAAGATGAGTGGTTCAATAGGTTGTGTACAGAACTGATGTATATTGAATAATGGAGCTGGAGGACAGGCCAGAATTCAGTGATAAAATTGACTTTTCCAATCGTCCAGATGTTTTGATCTGCTTTTTTGTTTAAAGGTGCATTGTGTAACTTTTCTGGTGGAGGCTCCATCAAATGCTTTTCTCCATGGAAATGTTATTGCTTTGTCTGGAATGTTTCACAGTATGGCATTAAACCTTTCTATCTTCATGGAGACCAAACCAAGCCAAGTTACAGGTCAGATCTGTGAAGAGGCGACCCTATGGGGTTATTTGTACATGTGTTTTGACATCCACAAATCCAAATTTAATATTTGTAAGTTGTATTTTGGTCTTTACAAATAGATATGTATTTGTAAATATATAATTTTTCAATTGGGGAAAAAAAAAATGTATTTGTGGACTTATTTTTAAGACACTCCACAATCCACAAACACAGAGAGATGCACAAATAGTTGATTCACATGCACAGGTCACAGAGGAAATCTGTGGATTTGTGTAATTGGTGATCCACAAATGCAAATCACATTTTACAAACTGAATTTTCAATTGTACAAGTTTTTTTTTTTTTTTTGCAAATGGACCCGGTCAAGCAGAAGTAAACAACAAGGCCAAAAATTCAAGTTAATGCATCTGATATAAAAATGTATTGAACAGATACATATGTACTCTAGTTTATGAAACTGTTGACCTTTTTTCTGTACCATTTTTGGTTCTAAAGTTCCATACGTTTTAAACAGACCATGTATGAAACATGGAACAAAAATTATTTCCCAAATTTCAAAGACCTGCAAATCATGTAAATAAATGGATGTATTTCATCATATCTTGTGTTATTCCATCTTTGAACTGTTGATGAAGGGACATGATTTAAAAAAAAAAAAAAGTATTTTAAATAAATATTAAAAATTAGCTTGGAAGGACTGACATATTTTATAGAAATAGTTTCCTTTCATTTTGAAGTAATATTAAAGTATTGGGAAGAAAAAAGCGACAAATGATGTAAAATCCTGCACCTTCTACTTGTTTGTACAATTTTCCCTCCGTTACTTTTCCCTCCGTTACCATGAACTTTCTTAATAAAAAATCTCATGAGTCAAAAAGTAAGAGGTTTTTCAACCTAATCTTGTTCCATATGGTAGAAAACTATATGAAGCAAATATTCAAACCAGTTTGTTAAGGATATGTAAGTGAGAACCAAGAGTTATCACTGTTTGGATTTATTGCCCAAAAAGTGCTGCATATTTCATTCCCTCTGTTACCGACATGAGTTTTTAAATTTTTTTCAACAACTTGAAAGAATATCACAGGTTTAACTTGACCCTGTTGGAGTGTAACTCTTTCCTACATTCTGATACTTTACTTATTTCAATAGTTCCTCTAGTTTCTGAATAAGAGACATTTGAATGTAAAAAATCTGCTCCTGTTTCCCTCCGTTACCACTTGACCGGACCCAGATGAAAAAAGATATATGTACAAATACACATCTATTGGTAAAGACCAACAATAACAGACCACAATTTGGATTTGTGGATCAAAACACATGTACAAACCAATGACTATTTGTAGATCATCCTCTGTGCATTTCTGAATATTCATGAGACAAAAGTGACCCCATCCAACCCACAACTCACAGTCAGAATGTCTATTTTTCTTGGAGTTTTTGAGCTACAAAACCACCAATAATTGAATACATGTAAAGTAGAGCTAGTTAATGTCACACTGTGGAACACACCAGACAGAGCAGTGACATCTCGAGCAGGTGGCAAATCTTCCACCATTAAAGTTGTACAGTCCACCTTTAATATCTCTTTACTGGGCCTACTGGTGTTTTTTTCACTATAATCTCACAAAATTGGATCTTATTCCTCCAAAGAAATGTGAATTCAAACACAATGAATCGCGACAGAGGAGCCTACCCTTTACACTGCTGCATTTGGTCGATGGTTTCAGGCAGATCTTTGTTCAGAGTCTCTGGGAGGAAGAAGTTGACCACACAGGAGGTCATGGTCAGACTGCCCATCACGACGTAGGGCAGGACCTTATTGTAAGATCCTGGAAAGTGAAAAGAATATATGGAATTTCATTTTTCATTTGAGGTCAAGGGCAGGACACCTCATCCATCACATGTCTATTGGAGTCGATCAGTGATTCCAAACCTGTGGACCAGACTGGGACAATAAACAGTATAGAGAAGTGGACTAAATGAACGTGACGCCACCTGTAGAGTTCAGCTCCAGCCAAATGAAGCTAATCGAGACGAGTTCAGATGTTTCAGAGGGTGTGACTGACAAGTGGATTAACTGCTCACAGAGACACTGTGGCTCATTTGTATCAAAAACAGACATGGCTGAAGATGGCTTGCAGTTAGCAGCCGAAACATGTCAACAAGGTAAATACACTTTACTGCATTGTCTTTAAAAAGAACCTAAGAAGTTAACAGACATGGCTGTTTACACATTAAAAAGAAGAAAAATGTACATAGAAGACTCAGAAACACGTGCTACAAATGAACATCAACAACCTCAATGAATCATCGACAATTCAGACAGAGGTTTTTCACGCTCAATCGTCTGATTGAAGACCCTTCTGGATTCTAAGAGAATGTGTTGCTCAGTTAAACCATGTACAGCAGCTCTGTTTAAAATGTGGTTGTGGGCGTTGTGAGCTGTTTAGTCCCACTCTAAAGTTACGGACAGTGTGGTTGGACTGTGCTACAGACCGAGGTAGATGACGTATGGCGCGGTGATGCTGCCCACTCTGGCGGCGGAGGAGCACAGGCCCATGCCCACGTTCCGGATCACTGTGGGGTAAAGCTCGGCTGTGTAAATGTAAACGATCCCAAACGCCATGGTGAAGCCAAACTTCCCCGTCATCTCCAGCGCCAGGGCCACAGACTGCAGCGCTGAGGAGGACAAACAACATCACTTGTGCACATGTGGAACTGCACATGACAGCTTTCAATGTTTTATTAATACTTCATTTGGTAGCACCTGTGGCAAATATTTATCACAATTTAACATGACTCATGCAGCAATTTCCTTTTTTTTTGTGTGTGTGATGAATTCTCAAAAGGAAACCCTTTATGTCATCATTACACAACATTCTGTCCAAAATGCAGGCACAGATAGGCTCTGTGCACAACAGCACACAGCTACATCAGGTCAGAGAGACGATTAGTGGCACCTTTTCCCCTGTAATGGAATGTAGTGACAGACAGCTGCTGGTGGACATCACCAACACCAAGTGAAATACTTTACAAATCAGGAGAGAAATTCACTGAATAACACGTGTTTGCAAAGGTAGGCTAGGTCTTTGTGTCTCAATGCTAATGCTAACTTTAATTTACGATGACCAGACGTCCCTGTTTACCCGAGACAGTCCCAGTTTTGAGCCCTATGTCCACTATTTCAGCTGATTTATACAAAATAACACAGGGCTCACAATTGGGACTGTCCCAGTTAAATAAGGAGGTCAGGTCACCCTAGTATTCATGCACCCTCAGCTCCCTGTCACTGCCTCACCTGTCATGGCCTTCCTTTACAGAGGGAACTGTGTTATGAAATTGTTACAATTTATTTGAATTTGTCAAATATTTTTTGCTGTTTAAATTAGATGAATGAATTAGTTTGGCCCTTGGTAGTATATATACTCTATGTTATGTATGTATATTATATATGTTACAGTTAGGGAACATCTGCGACCATGTGAGTGACTGAATTCCATGAAAAGTGTCATTAATTTCTATACTGAGTAACTGCTCGAGGTCAGGGCCTGTATTGTGGTTATGCATTAAAACCAGTTTGAGTCAGGACGCTCCACATGTGAGTTTATCACTTTACACAAGTTAAGCTGAGGACGCACACAATTATTGGCCTGATTTTCCCCTGAGCCAATGAAAAGTACTCCAAATATGAAACACTATCACTGTATAAGGAGGTAAAACAATGTAAGCACCACACAGGGGGTGTGTAGGGGGTCATGGGAAATAGGGACTTTGGAGCAGTGTTTTCTTGAATGCAGGAGAATAAAGATTACTCAAGCATGCAGGAATGATTCTAAATAGAACCCTGAGTGGGTACATGGGGAGGAGAAACAATAACATGGTGATTTTGTCTCCTATAACGTCTCTCCACACTCACTCTCTGGTATGACCTGGATGAGCAGCAGGACTCCGCCTCCGATGAGCAGGAACACGGACAGGAGGGGGCGCCGTGGGCACTTTTTCAGCAGCCATGTTGAAACAACGTATGCAGGAAGTTCAGACGTGGCCGACAGGAAGCAGTTCATGAAGGGGTCACCGCTCAGGTTTGATGTGTTTAGGGACAAGCCAAAGTATCCGATGTTTATGGCCATCCTGAGAAGACAATGACAAGATTAGATCACAATTCACTGATAGAATCTGCTGCTTAAATGTTTAAATACACATGTTTTGAGCATGCATAGACTGCTGCCCCCAACCCGGCCCCGGACAAGTGGAAGAAAATGGATGGATGGATGTTTTGACCTGGAGAATATAATACAAATGTAAAAATGTCTTGTATTTGTATTGGGCCTCTGTAACTGTCACCACTCACTCACTGCACTGGCAAGTGCAGTGAGTGAGTGGCAGGCAAAGAGTGATAGACAGAGAAACAGAGAGAGAAACAGAGAGACCCTCTGTTTGCCTGATGAAGGCCTAGTGCTAAAATGTATGTCCTAATAAATCTTACATTTTGCAAGTAAGACGATGAGATGTGTGGGATTTTTCTCTGTGTTCTTGGGCTGCTTCCTCTCTTACAGTGCACCCGTCTCAAGTAACTGATGTGTGAAGTTCTCATTATTTTACTTCTACGATAAAATTGCAAAAAAAAAAGTATATTTTTTGAAAACTTGCTTTAGAGACATGGAGGTGATAGGCAAGTGAAGATATTGGCCATTCCAGCTTGTCAAAAGCCTGATCTGGTCAGATCTCTGAAGCTCAGAGGCCGGGCCTGGTCAGGACTTGGATGGGTGACCACTGGAAACATCAGGTGCAAAAACTGTTGTTGTGTCCTTAGGCAAGACACTTCATCTACATTGCCCTGTGAAATTGGTGTGTGTGTGTGTGTGAGTGTGTGTGTGTGTGAGTGGTGGTCTGAGGGGCTGATAGCGCAGATTGGCAGCCTCACTTCCGTCAGTCTGCCCGAGGGCAGCTGTGGCTGCAGTACTTCACCACCACAGAGTGTGGAGTGAATGAATAATGCTCTGTGAAGCATGAAAAGCGCTGTATAAAACTGATCCATCATGTCCATCAATATATATATATATATATATATATATATATATATATATATATATATATATATATATATATATATATATATATATATATACATAGGGAAGTGATTTCAGTCTCAGTCTGCAGGGTTTGTGTGTTAAACATGTGTGAAAGAACAAAACACAACTCCAGGTCTGTTTGTGACGAGGAAATCATTAAAACAGAGATTAGAAAATAATGTAATATGGGCCCTTTTAAATAGACAGTTAACAGGGTCAAAAAAGTAGTCTGATACACTGGCCTAAAATAACTCCATTGATTTCATTCATGATGTGGATCTTCGTAAAGTGAAAAGGGCCTCACCACAGCACCAGGCACATGAGGGTGATGCAGCGGATGTTCCTGGACCTCAGCACGTCCACAATGGTGTATTTCTTTGCATCAGAGAGAATCTGAAAGAGAACAGAGGAGAACGGGATGACACCTGACATATATGGATATAGTGGGATGGGAGGGCATCTGACACACTCACCTCTACCTCTTTAAAGATGATTCCAGGCGCTTGTACCTTGTTCTTTTGAGCTGCGTCTCTCACGATGTCCTCGGCTTCGTCCCTTCGTCCCTGAGTGAGGAGCCAGCGCGGAGACTCGGGGATCAACCTGTCAGTCAACACTGCAGCAGTGAGCACACACCTCAGGCTCTTTGAGCTTTTTTCATTACTCGCTGATCTAGATGATGTGATTGATTGTAGAATACTTCTTTGAGAATTACACCTAAAATATATTTTAATTTTAAATTCTATAAAGATGACTTTGACTGTGGACATTCACATTCAAAATCTGATTAATTTTCATCTTTTGGAGAAATAAAATTCTTTAAATGACACGTAAAAAGCCAGATCATCTCATTTCTTTCCGATCATGGACACTCTGATCAGTCACATCAGACACGCCATTTAAACCGTAAAGGAGCAGAAATCCGATTCTTTTCAGATGTTGGTGTGCATGTGAACAAGGCCTCTGTCCCCAAATATGAGGTTCAAAACAAATACAGCTTTTACTTGTAACAGTTTTAATGCTGATTATTCTGAATTACAAAAACATTGGACATGTTGGCTGCATTGTTATGTAATAATTTCTCAAAAAGATTATCCAATCAGAAAGGAGGGGTTTGTCAGTTTCGATGGTGAAATCCTGTTGGTTTAAACCTTAAGTAACTGACCTGAATGGTCTCTACCTAAACCCAGCAGTATACAAGTATGCTGACAATATACTGAGAACAAACTTGATGTGTCTGTAGCTGCAGGTTAAGGTTATCTGCAGCTCTGACAACCCACTGGTTCAGTTATGAGTGTTATGAGTTATGTATGAAGTATGAAGTTATGAGTGTGAAGTATTTTGTAAGAATGCAGGATATAGAGTTCCTTTCACAGTACAGTGTCTTTCATGGTTTGTTTCAAAACAGAGTTAACCTATCCTACATGTGAATGTTCTTACCACCACAAAGGGAAGTAGATGATTGATGTAGTAGCTAACACAGCCAGCAGAGGTCTCCACTCTCTGATGGCGAAGGCGATCCAGGGCAGGGTCATGTAGCCGATACAGTAAAACAAGAAGGCCCCCAGAGTGGTGAAAATGACCCGCATGGTTTTACTCAGCAGCTCGGTGCCTGAGAGCAAACAAACTCTGTTCACTCTGTTCATGTGCACAGTTCAACATGTGCACTATTGGACATTCATAGTTGAGCGTATTTACCGAGTACAAAAGCTGAGATGTAGAGTGAGATCTGTGACGCTCCCACGAAAAGGAACATGAGGCAGAACATCCTCCAGGAGTGAGAGAAGGACTGGAGCAGCACAGACACACACTGAGCTGCCAGCGACACGAAGACCACCTTCTTTCTGCCAAATCTACAAACAAAACACACACACAGGAATTTAACATGACAGGGGAGAAGTCTGTCCAGGTCACTTCACACACTCTGACAAATTATTATAAAGACAAATGGGTCTGGAGCTATATCTAGTCTACGATTCCAGAGGGTGTGACTGACACACGGATTAACCAATCAGAGAGACACATGCTCTGGTCCGGTAATTTTAGGTTTAAACCAAGTGAATTTCAGCACTGAAACTCACAACCCAAATGAGAGACTTGAGAACCAACACACAACTTGACCATTATGTCCAATGTCCAAAGAATAAACCAGCACTCAGGGTTCCCACAGTCATGGAAATCCTGGAAACATCATGGAAATTGAAAATGTAATTTTCCAGACCTGAAAAAGTCATGGAATTTTATAAATTCAATGGAAGTTTTTGGAAAAAATCATGGAATTTTAGTATCTCTGTCACGCAACTAAAGTGTTCAGTTAAGTTCTTATTACTAATACTAGAATAGTAATGATTATTTCTGAAAGTCTGCACCTTTTGTTTTGTTTCATATTTGGTTCTAAAAGTCTGATCAGTTCTACACATGTAGGTGCAGTAAAGTCAAGGAAAATTCACTTTAGGTCATGAAAAAGTCATGGAAAAGTTTTGAAATGTTGGCAGTGAAAGAGTGGGAAACCTGACTATTGTTTCCAGTAAAAGCTTTATCTGATATGAACATATGAACATGTTTATTTCATATCTGGGGACTTACAGTTTCTTTAAACGACACCCACAGGCCTATTGTGAAAGCAGTGTCCTGTTGTGTTGTACAAGAAGGCAATAAAATCAGCTTGATAAAAGGAAATGTCCATTGCGTGTCTTTGTACTGACCCCCCACAGAGGACTGACCTCGAGGTTGGACCTCACAGTGGTTTGTGCAGCTGCACACAGCACATGAACAGGACTGTGAGCAGCTGCATGAGGCTGTGTCCAGGGCCCCTGCACTCTGCAGGACGGACACACGTGCACAGGCTGGACTGAACAGTGAGCAGGTTAAAGGGGACATCTTCTGCTTAATCAATGACTCATATTTTAACCTGCTCGAATGTTTCCTCATCAGAGGCAGTGTTCGTTAAAGCGCTTAACCTAACCAGCCAGTCCCTTTTACATTCTGTTTGAATCTAGTACAGACTGGAACTGGACCACAGAGCGTGAGAAACCTCTGTCCAAATTTGAGACGCTGCAACCGTCTCCCCAAAATATTTGTAACATTTAGAACTAAATATTTAACTTTAACTTAACTTTTACCTGAGATAAATAAGAGCTTGGTGCTGTAATTGTTTATTTAAAATCAACTTTGTTTCTCAGCCCTTTATGTCGTTTCTCCTTTTTTTTTTTTTTTTTTTTTACATAAACCATCATATCTGTTTCTCTGCATCTCTCTGATTGGTTAATCCATCTGTCAATCACACTCTTTGGAATCAGGGAGACAGGACACAGCTCCAGACCCACTCATCTCTGTAAAGTTTTGCCAAAGTGTGTGTTTCCGACTGGACAGGTAATAAATCCCCACAATGCAACGCTTCAGCCAAAAAGTAGACTACAGTATCATTTTTTTGCACTGAAAAACGTGTCCTCACTGTGAGTGAGCTTGCATCTCCACAAACCTGGCCTGGCGTACGGCCTCTTTTTGGTTGTTTTCAGAGAAATGTTGTTCCTTTGGCTCTACAGTACAACATAAAACATATCTATCTCCATGAATAATGTTCTGAAGTGTGGTTTTAACTTTTTGTTTCCGTGGAATCATGCAGGTGACGAGCCACCTCCAGAAAGTTACAGTTTTGCTTTAAGAGGCCTTTTCTGTCAGCAGAGGGCGCAAAAGCTTAAAACAAGCACCTAGGAGACTATTGTTTTGTGTTTTTGGTTTTTCTGGTCTGTTTCTAATGTTGTTTCCTCATCACAGACATTCCTGAAGTTGTTTTGTTGTTTCATTCACACACGTTTAACACACAAACCCTGCACATTTAGAGTTCTTCTCTCAAACAGTTCCATCCTGTGATGTCATTTTACAGGAAGTGCTCTACTGTGTTTTTAAACTCCACACTAGAATCATTTGGAGCATTTCAGACATGGAACTAAAGGTCAAAGCAGCTGTTAACTGAAAACTACTGTATCGCTTCATGACATCACAAGATGGAACAGAGCATTTGTAGTTTTGGAGATGTAGACATGATAATGCAGGATTATTCAAACATGTGTGAATGAAACGAGTCAATTTTGTGTAATACAAAACCGTTCGTACCACAATACCACATTCTGTTCATACCACAATTTTCATGATCATAAATATGTTTTCGTGAATTGGAAATGTGCTTAAGTGGACTTGAAACTTGTGCCACTTCTCGTCACTAGATGGCGGTATTGAACATGAGTTAATATGTAATCCTACTATTTGTGGATCAGAAATGTGACGACGAGGATTTTATAATTAGGTCATTCACTTTCACCTACAAATCTAATCGTGTCAAATTATTTTTTGAGCATTCTCAGCCCTATATTACAAAAAACTCGACTCTTGTGAGCTTTAAGTCATGTTATAATGTTGAGTTTTGTTTTATTCACACATGTTTCATCATAACCCTTTAGTCTTATTCTGTCTGCATCACCGAAACCCAAAATGCTCTGTTCCACCTTGTGATGTCATGTAGTGGTGTTTTTCTAGTCCACAGCTCTTTTCATCTTTAGTTCAATAGACAGTGTTTGCTGTTTGAGAGAAGAACTCAGTGTAAATGTGCAGGGTTTGTGTGTTAAACATGTGAATGAAACAAAACTCATCTCCAGGTGTGTTTGTGATGAGGAAACATTAGAATGTGTCATGTGGGCCTTTAAAGCCTAAAGTCGTGCACCTGTCTGACAGCTGTCCTGAGATGAGGGAGCCGAGCAGGTATCCCACAAACAGAGACGAGGAGGCGAAGGGGACTTTCCACTGGTCATCACAAACAAGGTCCCACTGGAAAAACAAAACAAAACAAAACAGCAAGCATTGGTTCAAATCATCTTTATCAGGGGTGTCAAACTCATTTTGTTCCGGGGGCTGTATCCAACCGACTTTGATCCCAAAGGGGCCGGATCAGAAAACTCATGTCATATAAACCCCGAAAAATAACAATAAGTTCAAATATTTGTGCAGAGAAACACAAATCTATTACAGAAATATTTTTTAATTGATGAACTCTTTCTTTTACAAAATATTATAATATTATGAACAACCTGAAACTTCAAAAAAAAATACAATTTCAACACAATGTTTTAACATGAACTTGTATGTAAACAGGAATAAGTCAGTTTTTCTTGTAAAATCCTGCACTCGGCTCTACTTTTTTCATGTTGGACATTTTTCTGATGAGGGTGTCACGGTCAACAGTCAAAACGATCGTCCTTTAAGAGCGTTTGGAAAGAGACAAGTCTTCATTTGTGCTGCTCTGGTGGGAGGGGCCACGTACAGAGGTGCTGGAGACGCTGCTGTGATAAACACCACAGAAAATTAACAAGATTTTAATAGAAAATATAATTTAAATATTTTAGCAGAAAATCAGCCGAGAGACAGATTAAAGGTCTTGGAGGGCCGGATCTGGCCCCTGGGCCGTATGTTTGACACCTGTGATCTATATAATTACACATATTATGTAATCATAAAGTAATCAAAGTCAGAGTGATTTTACTATTGTAATATATTGTGTGAAATATAGTTATATAATTGTCTTCATTATTTACAACATAAAACTAACAAAAACATTATTAGATATTATCAGCCTACACAGCAAAAACTGAAGAGTTAAAATTGCAGGGTAACATATTTCAGAATTGTTTATTTTAACTATCTGAGAGTTAAATGGGGGTTTGAGTTGGAGTTATTTGTCAGAGTTGATATGGTTGAAGTTCAACTTCCCTTAGTGTTAATTTGGCTCCTCCCACCACCACTTCAAACTCACAACACACGAGACAAGACCAGTTTGAACCAGTTTTGAACATAATTTCATTTCGGCATTAAAGTGTAAAAATAAAACACCTCTGTGTGTTTAGATAAATCAGAATAACTCTACAAAGTGTTATCTGTTTACTTTCAAAATGTTAATATAACTCTTGACTTCAGGGTTAAACAGGGTTAAACTTTGCTCCAGTGTTGCAGTACTTAATTAACATTTCCAAAAATGTTAAATTAACTCTCGAACAGATTGGACTCATTCAAACTAGGGCTGGTATAATTAAGAAGTTGCCGATACGATACATTCCTTGATACCCAGGCCACGATACGATACATATCTCGATACAGTGCACTTCCAGTTTGATACGATATATTTCAAATTGATTCGATATGGTTCAATACGAAACAAAGGCTAAATCATGGTTGTGATACTTACAGTCTTTGTTAAACCACTTCTTGTGCAAAATTCATATGAAACACAAATATTTTAATCATTAAAACAGTGAAAATGTCAAATGTGTTGTGTAAAAGAGTTTCTTTCCTCTGAATAAGCAACAAAACTGTAGCTGTAAAAAAAATAATTTAGTAAAGTATACGAAAATATATTCTTCGATACAGCAGCGCACGATATCCATACTGTATCATCACATTAAACGATACGATAGATCGATATTTCAATATTTTTGCACAGCCCAAATATAAACCCTGAGAAAATCTTAAACTTGATTTTGTGAGAGTCAATTTTAACACTCCACTTTCTGCTGTTTACTATTTTCAGTATTATTCACATTGTATCACCCAGGCCCGTGACAACCTGCACCACGTAACTTTCCTGGCAGAGTGTACGTTGCCTTCCTGTCGCCATGGAGATATAATCGCCCTTTGCTTGGAATGTTCCACAATAAACAAACCACAACTCCAGGTCTGTTTTTGAGGAGGTAGCGACATTAAAACACGTCTAAAAGCTCACAATATAGGACCTAAAAATTGGATCGAAAAGTATGAATAAAAGCAAACACAAAAACCTATGTGCATTTCTCATTTTCAGTCTTACTTTTATGCAACAAAAATACTCTAACAATTCATTAGTCAACAAAATGAACACTGCTAATAGACCTGTCATGATAATTCCTATATAAACATTAGAATAGAAAACACACATACCTCTGTCACTATATTGGACTGGTAGATTTCTTTGCTGTAAGTCCATCCGTCTAAGCAAGGCTCCTGGCTCAGAGTGGTCAGATTTACATCTTTTCCAGGAACTAAACCATTTTCCGACAAGTTTCTCACGATTCCTAAACTATACCGGCTACACTGACTCTCTACAATCTGTCCGTCTACTAATTTGGCAGGAATAATGGCACTTCTCCACTCCTCCGTCAGGTTCACATCAGGGATCAGGCAGCGGTGTTTGGGAGTGGACCCTATAAACACCATGTACAGTCCGTTGAAGCCGGTGGAGATGAAGACGGTGTTCAAAAGAAAGAACGTAGTCCAGAAATAGGGTCCGGTCTGTCCCAAAAAGGCAGTGTCCTCGTCAAAGTCCGACATAATTCCAGTCCTGGGCAGATGTGAAAGCGTGCAGCCCGGAGACGGTTTGGGACAATGGAGGAGGCAGGGGGCAGGCTGCAGGGCCCCTGTTAGTGGGATGGTGTCAGACTGAGTTACAGTGAAATGACTACAAGAAGTTTTAAAAAAAAATAAATAAAAATATAAATATAAGTTTAATAATATGAAAGATTATCATGTCTATATGACTAATTCTCTATTGGATAACACTGAGATGGGGCAGGAACAATTTAAATGTACAATAGTTCATTTGCAGATGTGCTGTGGTTTGATAAATACAGTGGAATAAAACATTGTTACTGTAATCTAGTACTACGGTACCGTTTTACAACTACTATTACTACAACAAATGAAACAAAAACTTACCAAGTGCAAAAACAAGCAGAGTAAAATTAAGATACAATGTCAAATTAAAGCTCAATGATTCAATAAAAAATAATAAGAATTATAATTTTAAAATCCTATTTGCATAGTCGACAGTCCAAACGTGCACCATTGTCTAAAGTTAAAATTCATCTGGTAAAAATGCTCACAGTTCTCCAGCTAAAGTAAATTAAGAGAAGCCCTCAGTGCATGAAGCTGAAAGTGTTTTTCCTCCACGACATTCTTCACGTTTAAACAGTCCAAGGACGAGCACGTGGGGCTCAAATGTTGCTAAGTAGCATTAGGGCTCCAGCTAAACATTTTAACCACTTAAACTGCACCACACATGAGACTGTTTAGGAGCCGTCTGTGCATAGTAATAGACAATCCTCTCACACTCTTCTCTGACTCTCTCCTCGGCTCACCTGACTCTCTCTCTACTCCATCTGACCCTCTCCTCTACTCCATCTGACCCTCTCCTCTACTCCCTCTGACCCTCTCCTCTACTCCATCTGACCCTCTCTCTACTCCATCTGACTCCATCTGACCCTCTTCTGGAGGACTTGAGAGCCTAAACCATTTCCAGCTTTGAGTCCTGGGTCTTCAAATGTGAGTCTGTAGACTGTAGCCAGACTGTGGTACATGCTCCACTAGTGCTTGGTCCTTCTGGTGGATGCTGGTCGTTTGCAGTTTCATTGGGTAAGTTTTGAACTAACAAATGAATGATGGAACTTGTGGAGACACAAGTCCAGGGCTTGAGTACTACATCTGTGCATTCTTCTGTCCATACCACCTCAGTCACACATGCGTCTATCACAATAAGTGTGCTTTCATTATTTAAAGACTAGTGATCAGTCTTTGCAAAAATCTGGACAGCAAACCTCAAACTCCTAATTATAGTCTTTAATCAAAGAACTCAAATGTTTTAAATCTATTGGCAAATCAGCAGATTTTGGTCCATGTCCACCTCCAGCTGCTTTTGATCCTTTGAGTTCCTAAGTTGTTTTTCCAGCTTGTGCTGCAATTTATTTTTAGTTGCATTTTTCAACTCAAAAAAATAATTTGCTCAAGTTCCCGAGGACATGAACGCAGCATAAAGTTCATAGAGTTTCACTAGAGAGCAAATTGGCAAAGATGCAAATGAACTTTGTAGCAGTAATAGTTTTGAGCCTCATTTGAACTGCTCCTCATTGGGCAGCACCTGAGCTCATGGTCATAAAATTTCGAAATATATTTGTAAATAGTTAAAGACATGTTTGACTTTTTGAACCTGTCGTAAACGTGTGTGGCTGAGATGTGCTTGTTGTTTTATGGGCATCGTGTTTCATTGGCTTTGACCTGCAGTTTATTCACATTATATCTGAACAGTTTTCTTAGGAAGATCTAATTATGACTGAACATAGAAAGTAAAATAGAAGTGAATGTCAGGGTGTAGGCAAATGGCTGCAGAGGCCTTAGGAGACATTATAGAACAATGCAGCTCTGTTAAAGGAGAGTGGACCTTGGACCACACTTGAGCCGTATAACCACACTGTTAGTTATTAGAATGCACTGGTGTCACTCTCAGATGGAGCAGGATTCTGTATCCATTATAAACATGATGTTTTCACACATAACACTACCAAGAATTACTGTAAGTCATCCCTGAGTCCCTTTAGAGGAACGACATTTTCTTTCATCCTACACACACTGATGCCGTGTATCCCAGATATCCAAGCACTAATTCGTATTTTTAAACTATCCAAATGATTTTAGTGAAGGTGTATGGAGTTTAAAAACACAGTGGATTGCCAAATGAGAAGAGCTCAGCCTAAATGTGCAGGGTTCGTGTGTTAAACATATGTGAATGAAACAAAACACAACTGCAGGTCTGTTTGTGATGAGGAAACTACCTCATAACACAGACGATTAAATAGTGTCATATGGGCCCCTGATGAAGGATTTCTGACGGTCGTGTGAAATGTGATTCTCTGGTTCTTCACCTGAGAACCAGATCACACTTTAACATATGTGAAGAAAACTAACAGCAAAGGGGCCACTGAATTTGAACTCCTATCAACCTTTGCTTTCATTAGCACGTAAGATCTGCCCCAGAAGCCCTCCTGACGGCTCTGGAGCACAGGGCTGAGGATCCCGGTCCAGTGTTGAACCTGAACATTTATTTGAGTGATTTTAGAGTTAGTCCATTAACATAATAGTATTTGATCTGTAATGTAGGTGTCGTGGAAATTATTTAATCAATTTCTGATCCTTGTGAGTTATGGAACAGAAAGCAGTTTTATTCTTTGTTGCAACAGATCCCTCCCTGGGTCCTGAGCAAGTCTCTCTGAGTGTCCCCACTCTTCCTCCCAATCCCCAGAGCCTCCGAGGTTGCAGTATTTAGACGACAATGACAAAACGTCAAACATTACAATGTGAAAAGGTCGGTCACATCATGGTAAGGTGTGACCGGGCAGCCCTTGATGACGATCACGAGTTGGTTTGGACTCGGGATGAACATGTGGAGTTTAAACAAGGTTAATACAAGGTGAGGCTCATTTCAAGAGAGAGTTGTTTGGTCTGATTGTATCTGTAAATACTCTTGACGAAACTGAGGAGATTAACAAACAAGATGGAACAAAAAGGTGTTACATTTTACATCTAGAAAGTATAAACCAAAATTATTCTAAACCCAGTATTTTATTTTCAATTACAGTATGAACAGACACTTGGGGCTTCAGACGGCTGCATGAGGAGACTACATTTACATTTCAGAGCCAGAGTTTTATTGTCACTTATTGTCATAAAAGTGAAGAAAAAAATGTGGATAGCCCTTTGCTTGTCCTTTGATTTTACGGTTTAATCTGCACAAATAATCTACTCCAATGACCTGACCAGACACAGCTCTGAGGATCCACTGCAATCTCTGGCGCCCCGCAAGTTGTCCCCGCCCCCAGTTTGACAACCACTGCTTTGAAACTCACTTCCAGACATATAGGCTATTTTTTTGTGTGTGTATGTGTGTGTGTCGACAAATAGCATCTTATTTCACTCGTGGTTTGGTCAGTCTGCATGGCGTTGTTGGGTTGAATCGTGTTTCAGGTCTGGTTTCAACGCTATAAATAAATGCAGCGTGATATTGTGGCCGCAGGTTCGCGTGATAATCATGATCCAATCCTCAAATCTGCGTTGTGTCATAAATGTAAATTCCATGCGAACAGCCCTATCACTCAGTAACTATACTGTGCACTCTGAAGACACGAGTGGGAGGGATTATTGTCGCTTTCAAAAGTCAGCTTTGGAAATGTTCCCTGTAGTCCCCTAGCTGCCCTCGTCTGTGCGTAAAACCGTGCGCGCTTCCGACCATGACAGACTACGACTACGACAAATCCACCGCGTTTTTGGGCGAATGGGGCTCGTACCAGTGGCGCCTCCTCATCCTCCTCTCCTTGACCATCGTCCCGAACGGCTTTACCGGACTGTCCATCGTGTTCCTAGCGGACACCCCGAGCCACCGCTGCCACATCCCCGCCGAGGCGAACCTGAGCGCGGCGTGGATGAACAGCAGCATCCCGTTGGAGGTGGAGCAGAGCAGGGACAGCGACGCAGCGGTGCCGAGTCGGTGCGCTCGGTACAAGCTGCGAGTGCTTCGGGAGTTTTCGGAGAGGGGACTGGAGCCCGAAGACGTGAACGTGTCGCGCGTGGAGACTGAGCCGTGTTTGGACGGGTGGGAGTATGACACCAGCGTCTACACGTCCACGATCATAACAGAGGTGAGTGGGGGACTAGTGGAACATGGACCGAGCTATTCTCATGCTTGTCACGTTGCTTTTTTGGTGGTGAATATCTGTAGATACTAGGGGTGTAACATACCCAAGTCTCACGATACGATATCATCACGGTATGAACCTCACAGTACGATATTTATTGAGATATCATAGAAAGCTCACGATTAGGGATGTAACAATATCCAAATCTCTCTGTACGATATTTTCACACTATACATCCCATGATATGATATTTTCACGATACAGTGGTCCCTCGTTTATCACAGATTACATTCTAAAAACAACCCGCGATAGTTGAAATACGTGAAGTAGTCAACTTTATATTTTACAATTATTATATCTGTTTTAAGTCTGTAAAACCCCTCAGCACACACTTCATACACTTTTCTCAGACAGGACAGGTGCAACCATTTTTGCATTCTTCTTAAAAAAAATATTGCTGCTGTCGTCCTGATGTTATTTTCCTCCTTCTTTACGCAACCGAAAATTAATTTATTCTGTAATGGAGCCCTACAGCGCAGAGTCCTGCATGGGTCCATTTTTGGAGACCCGCACCGGCGCAGTACAGGACCTCACCTGCCCGCACCTAACCTAGGACTGATTCCAGGACTGAAGAGGAGGATTAAACCAGGACTGAACTAGGACTAAACCAGAACTGAAACAGGACTCACTGTCGGGACAGGCTCAGAGGTGACTGCAAGAGAAGGGATCCACACAGAGTGCCGCACCTCACAGTAAGTGTGGCAATTGCGCTGCACTTCAGAATCACACTGCTAGCGATCAAACATTTATGTAAATTTGGCAAATTGAACACATTCTGTACTGTACAGGAGACACGGCACGGAGGAGATTGATTGACAATGGTCTACAGACCCTTAGCCAATCAGGACGCAGGGAGAGAAACACAATACGCACTCATACTCTGTAAAAAAAAAAAGCATGCAAAATTGCACTAAAAAAATCTGCGAAACAGCGAGGCCACAAAAGGTGAACCACGATGTAGTGAGGGATGACTGTATACATCTCACGGTATAGTTATTGCAATATTTTGTGGAGGCTAACAGAAATATTAATATGCTACTTTTCCCTCTTAAAATGCCTTGACAAACCTTAATCCAAAGAACTAAGACTTAAAAGTGCTTAGAACTTAGAATTTCTTCTTGTAGTCTACACTGAAATGGAGCAAAGGTTCATGGTCTATGTCAGGGGTGTCCAAACTTTTTTCATCAAGGGCCACATATCTAAACACAGACGAAGCAGAGGGCGACAGACTGGTGCTCAGTACAGGGAATAATTGAAATGTGTGCATGTTTAACACGTTAGAATGAGCCATCAGTCTTTAATCAGGCTAAGATCCTTAAAATATAAAATAAAAGATCCTAAATATTAAATATTAGCTTTATCAAGGTAGATTTTCCCAAAAAAAAACTTGCAGTAAAAGAATATTTTTTAATTGATGCAAGGTAATTTGGGCCAATTCACCTGGAAGCCTGAGGGCCAAGAAAAAATTGCCTGAGGGCCGCATTTGGCCCCCGGCCCATAGTTTGGACATGCCTGGTCTATGTAGTTCCCTCTGTCTTTTTTATCTATTGTTGCACCATAACTCTTCATTTAAGCAAAAAGACTTGTAATTCGATATGTTGTGATGGTCCACGATATTATTGTGAAAACTTTGACGATACGGTATCACAATATTTTGGTTATTGTTACATCCCTAGTAGATATGGTAAAATATTGTATTGTTTATTTAGTATAGTGCACATTAATGAGCATTACTGTAGCTTAAATGTGCCAGTTTGGGCTGCAAAACTCTTTTTCAACTGGAGACCCTGGACCCAGCAACACACAAATCCTAGAAGACTCAAAACAATTATTGGTAACTAACAGGGATGTAACAATAACCTAAATATCGTGATATCATATCGTCAGAGGTCTCACAATAATATCGTGGACCATCACGGTATATCGAATTACAAGACTCTTCACTTAAATGTAGAGTTATGGTGCAGCAATGGCTAAACAAAACAGCGGGAACTACATAGACCATGATTCTTTGCTCCTTTTCAGTGCAGGCTAACTGTTCTAAGCACTTTTAAATCATAGTTCTTTGGGTTAAGTCGAAAAAGCAGCATATTCACAGTTTTGTTAGCCTCCATAAAATATCGTAATAAATATCGTATTGTGAGATGCATATCGTGAAACTATCCTACAGAGAGATTTGGGTATCGTTACATCCCTCGTAACCAACTGTTTTTGAATGGGCTGGTCATGATATCTTCTCATTTTCTCATATTATTTTCTGATCTAAACTTATAATATAGTTTCCTCATCACAAACAGACCTGCAGTTGTGTTTTGTTTCACATGTTTAACACACAAACTGCACATTTAGGCTGAGTTCTTCTCTCAAACTGAAAATACAGGAAGTGCTCCAGTGTGTGTTTTTGAAACTCCACACACCTTCACTAGAATCATTTGGATAATTTCAGCCCTGGAATTTCCAATATCTTCAAAACTAAAAGTCAAAGGTAGTTGTTAACTTGAAAACTACCATTTCATGACATCACAATGTGGAACAGGGCATTTGGAGCTGCGGAGATGTGGACGGACTTAATAAGGATTACTCAAACATGTGTGAATGAAACAAAACAACATTCTAACACGGCTTAAAGCTCACAAGAGTCGATTTTGTGTAGTATAGTGCCTTTAAGCATTCAAAATACATCACGGGGCTGCATGATATTAGAAGTAACTGCACTGTAAAATCTAAGTAGACCTTGAAAAAAACTAGGAAACTGATTTCCTTGAAAAATCTGACTAAAGTGAAGTGTGAATCTAAAGCTGAGTTTACAAGTAACTCCTCAGTGTAGTGTGCCGTAAATTCCTCTTTCATTTAACTAGGCACAGCAAGTGAAGTGAACTTTAGTTTTCATTTATAGAACTCATGTTGTGAAGCTGAGCCAACGAATAAGTGGCATTCCTCAAATCTGAAATATGTAGTAACATTTACTTTAAGAGTAAGTTCATCTTCTGCTAAAAACATGGAAACTGATTGCCTTGAATTGAACAAGTTAATGTTAGTTCTATACACATGTTAGAGTAAAAACAGGTTCTTTTCTACTGTAAGCGCCATTTCATAAGATTACATATTTCAATATAATTAACAATTCATAAAGATTCATGTGCATTTTTTGTTTAAAAAGCAATTTAATATGTTTAAGTGCATGATTTATGTTTGACTCAAAAGAAAGAAAAAGTGATACATGATTTGAACATTGGGGGCGCACTAGTGCCTATCTGTTGTATTCTCATGGAATTACATGTGAAGAAATGTTTTTCTTGAACTTGTTGACAATAAAGAAACAGATGGCTGGAGCAACACGGTCGTTTTACCGTGCTGCAACGACATCAGGTTGTAAACGCGTAAGACAGGCTCATTAGTCATCTTTCTTTATGAAGAGGTTAAATTAGTAATAAGGAGAAAACGAGTCAAAGATTAGCCTCTACATCTACAATAAAGTCATTTAGATCTGCACCAGGTAGGATTTGTGTATTTATTAGTCTTTGAAAAAAACATAGCAAAGGTTTTGTTCAGCTTAAGTTCAAACACATCATAACATTTGTAATAAAATAATAAAATAATAAAGCTCGGTCATTCCATGTCAACTCAACCAAGGCCCCTGAACTTAGAGCTCAAAAAATACCGGAAGAAACAAAACAGGAGAACAGGTTGAATCGAGCACAGATTGAATGAACAGCAGAAGGATATAGAGACCGAGACTAAGTTTATATGATGACGGTCTGAACAGAAGACACAAAAGTGGTGTTGCGTCTTCACTTTTTGTTCTGTGCTTAGATGAGTGTTTTTGGGAGGAAATCTGTGCGCATACGGTGACGCAAAAGTGTGTAGAATTGGATTGTGTATGCATGCCAGACGGCTCGGTGATGACGCTAGGTGGTGATGTATGAGACATAAACACGCACGCGACGTGAGCAGATCTGACCAAAGTTTTGCGTCTTTTGCAGTGTAGATGGAAACGCTGCGCCAGAGTGTATTTAACTTTTCTACTCTGGAGGCTGGTTTCATATTTTTGCATTTTAAAGCCCCAAAAACAGTCACCGTCTGAACGAAAGGCACTTCCAATAAAATATTTTGTAGTTTTTACCCGCAAGTGTTCTTGTGTAAACAGGCCCTGAATGAACAGCAGGAGGATATAGAGTCGCTCTGGGAGGATCAGGGAATGAGTGGCGACTGTAAGAAAAACAGGGAGGAAGCAAAAGGAGGAGACAGAACAGACTGGAAATGGAGCTGGACTCTTGGCAATAACATGTCACTGTTGAAGTTACTAAGGTCAAGTTGACCTCAGTGTAATTGATAAGTGTAAAGGAAATTAAATTTAGAAACAACATTTGGTCTTGTAACTGAAACTCATTAAGTTGAGAAAGACCCTTCAGTGAGTGTGTATACATGCACATGAGTAACCCGGTTATTAGCCATATCCCGGTTATGTCAGTATTCAAGTTACTGTGTTTACATGCGCACTGAGAAACCTGGACACTCATATTCGCGTGTACATGATCAAATGGAGTATCCCGGTTTCTTGACATAATCTTACAAATGCGCAGGCGCAAAAATTAACTTAAATCAATTTCATAAACCAGGAAAAATACAAACCGTGAGCTCCTTTAGCATAAGAAGCTAAGGAGCTACGAGATCTCCCACAATCCACTGTGCAGATTCTTCATTAAAATCTTCTGCATAAATAAACTCAACTTTACAACATATAAACCATAAACACTATAGACACATCAGCCCGTTTGATCAGATAATTCAGCTCTGATCACATTTGTTTACGTTTTACAGAAACGAAACTTAAGACCGTTTGGCTAATTAGCATAAACTGCTAGCGGCGATAAGAACAACTCGCTCCTTGCGCCGCTGATGTGATCAGTTTTTTTTTTTTTGGACTAAATGACACGACTCAGTGGATTATGTGTGTTATTTCTGTGACAGAAGAGGCGCTAATGATGGTGAGTCTGTTCTGTGCATATAGAGTATAGGAGATAGTTCATGTTTTAGCTTTTCAGCGTCACACGAGTGCAGGTCGTACGAGTGTCAGATTTGTACGTATGCAAATTAACCCTAATGTTAGATTTTACAGTGTGTAATGCAAGTGTGGAGCATTGTGTTAGTAGCCAAACTATTTGTCACAATGAACATTGAACTTGAGCCTGGTAAATACAATAGCATTTGTGTTCAAAGGTACTTTGATAATAAGTTGGTATAGAACATTAACCTTCTGATCTGTGGGCAGTTTCCCATACACCGGGCCACTGCTGCCTGTCCTAAAAGAGGTCACAGTCTGGTTCTGTTTGTCCTGGAAAACCAAATGAAATGAAAATGGTGCTGAGTTTGTGGTCTGAATTTTATTTTCTGTTCTGTAGCCACAGCCAAGTGTCCCGCTGTCTCTCAAGTATTCCAGGTTTAGAGATACAGATCAATGTAGAAAAGTGTATTGGAGCACGTATGGCTTCAGGATATGATGAGGGGGAATGGAAGGAGCAGCAGCCAGAGCGGTTATGAACATCTCCTAATGTTTCTTCACTCTTGTATCTGTTGGCAACGAGTACCAACAATCAAAACCCAATGGAACTCAATGGATCTCAAAGCTCAGTGGATCCCTCTGTCAGACTTGTTCAAAAGTCTTATAGTTTGGTTCAGATGATATCAGGCCAGTTCTGCTCTACTTTTCTGTGCTTTAAATTTATTTATTATAAAATTCAGTAGTTTAGCAGTACAGTGTGAAAAGTTTGGTTGTTTTCTTTCAATTTCAAATAAGACTAGCACATATAATTAAATGATTAGTAAAACAGAACTGCCTTGGATCCAGAATAAAGGTGTGCAAAAAAATATCTAAATATCGATATATCAGATTGTTTAATGTGCCGATACAAGATTGATATTGTGGGTTACGATATATCACCAAGAGTATTTTTTTGTATATTTTACTAAATTATTTTGTTACAGCACTACAGTTTTGTCTTGTTTAGAGGAAGGAAACTCATTTATGCGACACATTTGATATTTTCACTGTTTTGATGAGTAAAATTGGCGTTTTCATGTGAACTTTCCAGTTACTTGAGCCAAAAGCTGCTTCACATTATCCCCTAACATATAATATTAGTATCATCAGCAAAAGTACAAATTTCATTAGCTTAGATATTTTACATATGTCATTAATGTACATTATGAATAATGTTGGCCCCAATAGGGAACCTTGAGGTACCCCACACGTTATGTCCCTAAACCCTGATTTGTGTTGATCAATGTGCACAACTTGTCATCTGTACCCCAAGTAGCTTTATAACCATTTTCTTTGAATGTCATAGTTTTCCAGTTTATTTATTAAAATATAATGATCAGTCGTGTCAAAATCCTTTTAAAGATCAATAAAAAATCACAATTATAAACTGTATTTTTTCATTACCATTTAAAATTTCCTCCATTAAATCAATAAAAGCAAGTGATGTAAATCTATTTGGTCAGTTAACAATAGGTGCTTCACAATAAAACTACAAAAAAACACAAAATTGCAAATATGTGTAAAAGGTTTGGTTATTTCCTCTGCTACAACAGTCCTCATGTCTATGTCATTAATGTCCCGTGAAGTTTTATTCTTACATTTTTTAATAATATCCAAAACCTCCTTTTCATCACAATTAGAGTGAGAAACATTTGGATTCACTTCTATTAGGTTTCTGAGAGGCTCCTCGTCTATTGGACTTTTTTTTAGCCAGTTCCGGTCCAACATTAACAAAAAAAAAATAACTCTTTTCTACTTTCTCTCTTTATACCAGTTCTTTTGTTTTTGTTCTTTTTGCATGCGTTTAATTGCCTTTTTGTGATCCATGGAGCTTTTGTGTCATATTTACCCTACATTTTCTAATGGGACAATTCTTATCATAAAGGGAAAGAAATATGTCTAGGAAGGAGTTGTAAGCTGTGTTTACATCTTCATAAATAGATTCTCAGTGATGAGTTGCAAAATCCTGCTTCAGAGCCATTATTGATTGTTCTGTTCTAACCCTCCGGTAACAGACATCTTTAGTTTTACATTTACATACACATACAAGACTGGTAAATGATCACTGGTGTGGTTTAGTATTAAACCAATTATGTTACTGTCCAGAATATTAAAGAATATGTTATATATGAAGGTAGCACTGTGTAGTGTCTGTTGTTCTAGTTGGTCTTGTAATTAGTGGATACAAGTCCATGGTGTGAACATTGTATTGATAAAATCCTCCATAAATGTATGTTTTTTGGCATTTAATACATCAATATTATAGCCTCCATATATTATAACATCTTTGGTAGTTTTATTATTAAATAACTTTTCCATCCACTTGCTAAATAATCCATGTCATGTCCTGTTGGCCTGTAAACACATCTTACAATTATGTTTTTCTGTTTTTGCAGTGTAATTTCTACAGTTTTACATTCAAAAACTTCATCCACCACCAGAGACACTTTCTACAACACAATAGCTGATGTTTCTATCAATATATAAAGCCACACTCCCTCTTTTCATAACACTTCATATTAAACTCAGAACCTTTATCCCCATTTATCCGTGTGTCTGAGATTGCACTTATGTTAAAGGGTGATTTGATTTGATTCATCTTTAATGCATTCACAATTGGAGTATAAACTGCTATTAAAATGAACTAGAGGTAATTTTTGGTCCAGTATAATCTGTTTATTAAATGTGACGTCTGTGAAATATAAAGTATTATTGTGTGTACCCTGAGGAGTGTTATTATCTGGATCAATTTCATTCATGTTAGTTTGGGCTTTGTACTCATTATGATCTGTGTAATTCACCTGTAGTTCTAGGTTCTGAAAGTTTGTGCTCAAGTCTTCATCGTCAGATAGAGAGGAGTTTTCACTAACTGTAACATAACTGTACAAAATTAAACACCTCAGATTTCTGCAGAAACAATGAGTGATTCTAAACTCTGTTCATATGAGGTGAGAGAAATGTGATTTTATTTGTGAATCACAGGTGACCAATGAGCTCCTTCGTTTCAATTATTAAATTAGTTTCAACTATTCAATTATTTACAATTGTTTTGGACTGGCTTGAGATTCGGCAGAGTGTGGGGACCAGACTGATACTGATCTGTATAAAAATTAGGGCTGGGCATCATTAAGAAGCTGCCGTTACGATACATCCCTCAGTACATAGGCCACGATACGATACTTATCTCGATACAGTGCACTTTCGATTCAATACAATATATTTCAAATCAATTCGATACGGTTCAATAAATAAATAAAATGATAAAATAAATAAAAGCTAAATCATGACTGTGATACTAAGTCTTTCTTAAACAACATCTTGTGCAAAAGTTCATATGAAACAAACATTGTAATCATCAAAACTGTGAAAATGTCAAATGTGTCACATAAATGAGTTTCGTTCCTCTGAACAAACAACAAAACTGTAGCTGTAACAAAATAATTGAGCAAAATATACCAAAAAATAGTGTTGGCGATAAATCAGTTCAGCAGCCCACGGTATCAATACTGTATCATCACATTAAACAAAATACGATATATATCGCTATTTTTATATTTTTGCACATCTGTAATAAAAATATAGATAAAAATTTGGAAGGCTTGGTACTACTAAATGTAGGTTAAATGAGCTGGGAGGTTCAAGTTCAAGATAAGACTCGGTTATCAGGTCGAGACTGATACAGTATCTTTATGTTTCTCAGCGTGGACGCGTGGGTTGTGCATGCTCTGGCAGTGAAGCTAAGTTTCAAAACAGTGAAGACTGCACTGTGATTACAGAACTCTCTGGCTGTACCAGGATGATGGGATTAATGTGACTAATCAGATTAAAGTTTTTAGCAAAAACATCTCAACTTTAAATGAATTCCAGCATTCAGTGGCAAGTTTAGTTCAGTTCAACCCAGTTTTCAAAAAGACCAGTTGGGTCGTCCAGTTATAAGGTGAAAGAAATAAGCCTGTTACCGTTACTACACTATTACAGGCCTGTTATTCGTTTATTCAACTGATGTTTATGCATTTTGTGGTTGTTTTTCAGTGGGACTTGGTGTGTGATGACAGCTGGAAAAACCCTCTGACCACCTCTATTCACTACTGCGGAGTTCTGGCAGGATCTTTCATTTCAGGACAACTCGCTGACCGGTAATCAGCACGACTTCAGTTAAACTCCAAACCTCCAGTCTTCATGTCATAGCATCCAGTAAACAGAACTCAGATGTAGTGAAGTGTGAATCAACATTTGGTTTCAGTCCAAATGCACAAACAGAGAAGATAATAGTTATGAATGTAGCTATAGGCTCAAAAATAGACACTTTTAACTCACCCACTCCTCCTGTGGGTCAGCCTCTGCCCGAGCTAGTGACACACAGTAAAGAGTGACCTTTCAAGAGCAGGAGATGACTACTTATTAAACGTGCAAACATGAAAAACACTATATAGTGACATGGTGTGTAAATGTTAATGTGTGAGCAGTTAATACACCATAGAAGTAAAATACTCTCTCTTTAAACTATGGCTGTGTTTTGTTTTGCAGGTTTGGGAGAAAAGTGGTGATGTTCGCGTCCATCGCGATTACAAACGTCTTCTGTTTTCTGCAGATCTTCTCTCCGTCATGGCCTGTGTTCTGTGCCTTGTACTTTGTGATTGGCATGGGCAAAATCTCCTCTTATGTGACTGCGTTTGTGCTAGGTAACCCAGTGTTTCACTGTCAATATTCAACTCATGCTGGACAAGTTTTAAGTGGAGCAATCATTATTTACATCTTAACTATATGGAGAAGGAAGAAACCTGTTACTCAATAGCTTATAGTCTCTTTTCTCTTGTACATAACTTCACATACCATAAAATACCAAATAAGAGCCGGGGCATTTATTTGTTTCAGTCACTTAACAGACCAGGCATTTATTTGAGACCAGGCGATCAATTCCTTTTTCACAAAAATCTTGCTCAGCAAAACTGGGAAAATATAGTACTCAAATTCTTTTAACCAGTATGACTATAATTTACAGTTTTTTACGTCACTTCTCGGAGGAAGCGTCGCCGTTATATGATGGTGTGGAGACTACTTTGACGACCTTATCGGACAAAACTCCTAAAAACTGCTTCCATTTCCTGCCTGCTGTGTTGCTCCATCTTTCTTTTTTACGTCACTTTGAAATAGTGATTTCACAGCACGTCATCTGTTCCTCCACTTTTTCAGTGAAGCTGAGGCTGATCGGACGCAGCGCAGAGAATAGAGCCTCTCCATTCAGTCACAGAACCAGTCTGGTGTCGGCAGGACTGACCTAAAGTCAAACTGCTCCTGTCACTGTAAACATCAGACTCTCTGTGGTGTCGCTGCACTAATCATCAGATCTTGGTTAAATAAAGCACAATAAACGGGAAACGGGAGTTTGAGCAGTTCCTCGGCAGCAGCCACAACCACTGCTGGACTAGACTGCATTAAACTCAGCGTTTATTTGGAACCGACTGTTATTTATCAAAATATACACCTGGCACCAGTTAATTGAAACCCGGCTATTATTTGGTATTTTACGGTAGGTATTTGTCCGGTGTCGAAACAAACAAGGCGGCTAATGTGAGTTTGAAAAAAAATTAGGAAAACAGGACAGAGAAAGAGACACAGACTTGTCCCAAATCAACTGACGCTTTCATCATCATCATCATCATCATCATCATAACAATGGTAAATGGTCACATTTTACTATAGAGCTTTTCCACCTTCAAGTCACTCAAAGCGCTTTACAACAAGGAACCACTCACCCATTCACACACACATTCACACACCAGTGTACGCAGACACTGTGGGCAAGGTGGGTTAAGTGTCTTGCCCAAGGACACAACGACAGCATTCATCTGTGGGAGCTGGAATCACACCAGCCAGCCTGTGGGTGAGTGGATCTGACCGCTCAAACTGCGATGTTTTATGTCGAGAGCTGGATTCGAATCGCCAACCTTCAGATCAGTGGGCGAATGCTCCACCAACTGAGCTACTGCCGCTCATAATGCATTCATTTTATACAGCACTTTTCTACATTCTCAAAGCCACTTTACAATTCTATGCATTATTAATTTAATCCACAAATATACACATACACAAACACACAACGTTCATAGTGGGCAAAGTAGGTGAAGTGTCTTGCCTAGGACATAACTACAGGTCCACTGTGATCCCTCTGCTCTAACCACTGAGCCACTGTCCCAAAACATGGTCTGTTTATAGTTAAAGTGAGAGCTGTTTATTTTTGTCAGTCTTGTTGTATCAGTTTCATCGAGCGTGTTGTGTGCAGGCATGGAGGTCCTGAGCCCCCGTGTGCGCACCGCCTACTCCACGGCGGGCGTGTGTCTGTTCTTTGCCGCTGGGTACATGCTCATGCCACTGGCGGCGTTCTTCCTCAGAGACTGGAAGAGCCTGCTCCTGGGGCTGACCCTGCCGAGCCTCGCCCTGGTCCCGCTCTGGTGGTAGGTAGGTCGGCTGTGCGTCCAGTGTTGTCATAATAAAATGTGTAACTTGTTTATAGTGAGGAAGAAGCTTGATGACGCTTGGCACCAAAGTGACACTGGTGTTAAGGTGAAGTTCAGTGTGTCCTTTGCACTTGACCCTTCAGTGACATCGTTTCATATTGCTTTCCTAAATCACTTTTGCCACTTAGCCATGTAGACTTCCTAAAGAGTAACTGCAACTTTTACTCAAGTAAGAATACCGTTACTTCAATAAAAAAATATTCCTCAATTAAGAGTAAAAGTATGCTGCCAGAAATACCTGAGTACCATATTTTTCGGAGTGTAAGTCGTACTTTTTTTTTCTTGGTTTTGGCGTTTCCTCTAACTTATACTCTGGTGCGGCGTATATATTAAAATGTTCACACTGACAGCTTCGAGAGGTTCTTAGTCTTGTGTGTGAGTATCTGCTGCTCCTGTTCCTCCTGCACCACTGTCACTTCACTCTACTGCACATGTCTCCTGCAGAAAGAGCCTCTGTTCTGTCTGTATCATGTCAGTCGATCGCACCATTACTTCTGCACCACTGAACAGTTTAACATTTAAATAAACTTGTAAAGACGACTGAGAAGACTGAACACAAATGCCCGAAAAAGAAAATCATTTTGCAGATTACAAACTGCAAGTGGCAAAATATGCAGCAGAAAACGATGATCGAGCAGCAGAAAGAAACTTTGGAGTGAGCATCCTGGAAGTCATTAGATGGATGGACAAAGTCTGGACTTCAGTGACACCGAAACCTGTTGGGATTCAGAAAGACCGGAATAATTCTAACTGGAACTGATGCTGAGTCTGACGACAGCGACACAGAAGAGGAAGCGGCGCTCTCTTTACCTCCGGAGGTCGAGGCCGAGTTGTTCAGAAGTGACAATGAGGATGAAGAATTGAATGGATTTAGTGATTTGGAGTGAGATGGAGAGTTTGGTAAAACTTGTTCTGTTCTGTTGTTTATGTTATAGTTTATCTGAAGAACTGTTCATATGTGACGTTAACAGTCTGTTGTTCTCTCTTCTATTGTTACTACTAGAACTTGACTTTCAACGTGAAATGCCAGTTCCTGGTGTCTAATTTTATAAAATAAGTTTCCCCCAAAAAGTGCAACTTATAGTTCGGCGTGACTTGTATATGTTTTTTTCTTCTTCATTACACATTTTTTGGCTGGTGCGACTTATACTCCTGAGCGGCTTATAGTCAGAAACATACAGTACACTGGGCAGGACTACCTGGAGGGTTTGACCTATTGTACATGTTTTGTCTTGATGAGGGAAACCAGAGTGCGCAGAGGAAACAGCACACCCACCCAGACACAGGGAGAACATGCAAAGTCCACACAGAAGCATACCTCGCCACCATGCTTAAACTCTCAACATTTTTACACCAAGTACCACTTTGTTTCATACAGTATTTAGCTTCTCTGTAACCCTGTAACTTTTCTGATGAATTATCTTCTTGTCACACTACTTTTGATATACGATCACAATATGGCGTTAAAGGGCTCATATTTCTGTATATTCTGATCTATGTTATAATTTTTCCTCAGCCCAAACAGACCTGTAGCTGTGATCATGTAATACAGGAAGTGCTCCACTTTGTCCAAATAATTTCCCTCGTTGATCAATAAAGTTTGTCTATAGCCCTATTCTCTCAGGATTAGTCTGACCTGTGGACCGTTGGTGATTTGTAATAATTGCGGGCAATGCCTGAGATCTTAATCCTTGGTGAATGCACCATGTCTGTAATTTGTAAAGTAAAAAATCTGCCGCAAATGACCTAATATATTTCGTCAAACACAGACACAGGTGATGACACTAGTCCCGCGTGACTCTGTATCTCAGCGTTTGTTGTTGTTATTGTGCACCTTTTCTATCACTTTCTTTTCTTTCCAAGCTCTTTTCTCTTTCAATCTCAGCCATTGTCAGTAAAATAGAGGAATTTACAGACTTTGCTTATCCTGTACGTGTGAATGAAACAAAACACAACTCCAGGTCTTTTTTTTGAAGAGGTAACAGCATTCTGACATGGCTTAAAGCTCACAGGAGTTATTTTTGAGTCCGTGTGTCTCAATCTGCAAAAACTGATCGAATAAATCTATATTTGATTGCAGGTACATCCCAGAGTCTCCTCGCTGGTTACTGTCTCAAGGAAGAACCGAAGAGGCCGAACTCGTGATAAAGAATGCAGCAAAAATAAACAAAAAGGACATTCCAGAAATCATCTTTAAATCTCTGCAGGTGAGCTTCCATTTGTTTCTAACAGAATTCGTAGTGCAATAGTCTTGTATAGGGCCATTTTCTAAGTTTTCATGTTAGTAGATGGATGTCAGTACTGAATACAACTAAAATAATCACTGAAATTTTCATTACATTATAAGTGGAGTTGATTTTCTTTGACAACAGACAAGGTGCAGTATGTAATGTCAATGTACAAGTGAAGATCTTGCCCAGAGTCTTTGTATGGTGCATTCAGAACAATAAAACCTAAAGTGTTCAATGAATACATAATAACACCTACGACCTAACTCCCATTGTTGCTCAGCTGTGTTGAAGTACAGATAAGAAGTGTAATAAAATACCTCGACTTCACCTAAGTGTAGAGTTCTGCACCTGATGGGTACCCGCAAGTAGTTGCTGAAAGGGAGGGGAGGGTTTACGGGCGGGTATGCGGGCGGGTAGTGAATACACATGGGCGGGTCAGGACTAAACCAGGATCATACCAGGACTACAGCAGGACTAAGCCTGGTCCAAACCATAACTAATCTTGGTCTTGAGAGAGAGAGAGAACCCGAGCCTGCAGAGAAGGGTGTCCGCAAATTACAATCGGGTCACGGCTGCACTTAGCTCCATGGGAGGTAGAGCTCTGTGCCGGTACTTTCGCCTGTGGTCACCCGACGGTCTACACGGGCGTATCTCCAGGTCTGTCCCAGCAGCCAGTCCTGGTTCAGTCCTGGGTTAGTCCTGGGTTAGTCATGGTTTAGTCCTGGTTCAGTATGCATGGATTACTATTCTATGCACACGAATATTTCTGAAAGCTTTTTTACTCCATACTATTGCCATTTAGCGTCACGTAGTTTGTTGAGATGTGCATCGAAAAAAAAAGTGTTTCCATTTGAATGCTTTTAATTTGTGTGTGATTTATCGTGGGCATGGGCTTTGATATAATCACAGGTTAACGGGCAGGTGTGGTCCTGTACTGCGCAGGTGCGAGCAGGTGCTGATAGGTGCGGGTCTCCAAAAATGGACCAGTGCAGGACTCTGACCTAAGTTGGTAAAAAGTCATTTTCAAAGGGCCTCTTAACCTTCAATCCTAGTTCCTATATGTTTGTGAGTTTCTACTAAAGTGTTGCATTTAATAGTTACAATTCAGCTGAGTTCTTCTGAAGTTCCTGGACATGTTTAAAGGTCCTGGGGAGCTTTAAGCCATGTTACAATATTATTACCTCCTCAACATACCTAGAGCTGAGTTTTGTTTCATTCACGTTTCCTTAATCCTATATTTTTAGTGTGTCTACATCTCTAACGCTCAAAATGTCCACCTTATGATGCCATGAAGCTGTAGTTTTCAAGGTAATAGCTAAATCCTACTTAGACCGCTGAGAGTTGCAGGTCCGGAGAAAGTAAGTGATGCGCTGTCTTGTCTCTGGCGTCTAAGTAATCAAATCCAGTCTTAATATAAAAATAGTCTTTATTACTTGTTAATTGGCCAAAAAATTAATTACTGTGTAAAAAGATCTAAAATCGTACAAAGATGCCAAGCATGGCGGTGAATAAACTGTGTGCTTCACCAGATTGCAACACCTGTGGAGCACAGGAGAGGTCCTCCCTAATGTAGCCTACCACACGGCGCCCTCTACAGGTGACGCACACACAAGACGCATGGCTGCAACAGCTATCTTTTATTCGGGAGAGATTGGCAGTTCCAAGGGTGAAAATTTCCAAATAAATTTCTAGTAAAGCTGTAGGGAGTTGAAAACACAGTGGAGCACTTCCTGTATTACCACAGGACATCACAAGGTGGAACAGGAGAGATGAACTCAGCCTAAATCTGCAGGGTTTGTGTGTTAAACATGTGTGAATGAGACAAAACACAACTCCCGGTCTGTCTGTGATGAGGAAACATTGTAACATAGATCATAAAACATCACAATATGTGCCTTTTCCTCTGTGTTTGTTTTGCTGTTGCCCTTTAGGCCGGACCGCTGTCAGAGAAGAAGAACACGTCCTATAACATCTGTGCCCTGCTGCGCTGGGGCTCCCTCCGCTGGCTGTCTCTCACGCTCTGGATCATCTGGTCTGTCCCTGCACTTTTACACTCAAAGACCCTGGTCAATGAAAACAAAACTTGCCCTACAGCTGCAGGCTTCAGCACAGTCACAACATGATCACTTTAGTAATGTATCTGAGTTTTTAAAGGTGTCACTGCTCTGGTGGAGGGCCTACCTGCTTGTCTTCATTGAAATTATTTTTAAAGATTCTTAAAAAGTCCTCAAAACTGTGAAAAACAGAACTAGTTCATTCCAATCATATTCCTCTCTTACTTATACGTTCCTAACTTAGTTGATCACCACAATGAGTTTACACATTTTTCATAACTTTAAGATCAATTGCTGTTTTTGGGGGTTGTTTTGCTTATACTCAAATCCTGGGTCAACAGACTGGGTCACAGTTGAGTCATTTCTGGGTCAAATTCTCTCAAACGGCCCAGCAAAATGGGTCAAATACAGACTCTTCAACTGTCCATGGCAGCCAATATGGACAATTGAGTTCATTTCACTGCTAAAGTCATAATTTGCTGCTGTTTATAGTGTTTTAAATGCAGTTATTTATTTAAAATGTTTACATAGCACTGTGGTGGTCATTATAAGCATTAAACCCATTTATTTGGCAGAAATAACCCTGCAGACTAGTTAAATATTACCTAGAAACTAGCAGGCAAACGGTGCTGCACTTAAACACCCTGTCCCCCTTTTTTTGGACCCTCACCCACAGTTTGAGAACCCACTTCCACTGGCACTTCAAAGTGAATCAAGTGTTTTTTTTTTCAAGTTCATAACATTTACAGTTATATTCTCTTCCTGGCTTTGCTGTGGTATTTAAAGGCTCTGCACTTTTACCGGCCATAATGAAATATGATCGCGCTCGCCGAGTGTCAGACAAGACTGACATAAGACCAAGACTGGAAAAAAGCGGTCTTGAGCCCAGTCTCGAGACCAAGACCGGTTTCAAGTACTACGACACTAGTAGAAACCCAAAAGTTATGCTAAAATAATAAACCAAATGGCTGGGTATTTTCGAGACATTAAAAGTCTTTATAATCAGAAGCAGACGGCACACAGTGGACATATTTTAACCCCAAGAGTTTCTTACGTTTGTACTGGGGCAAGGCGAGGTTTGCGCAGATACATGGAAGAAATCAGGTACAGAGGATTTAAACATGTCAAGATAATCAAGTGACGCCCGCAGGCCAAGTTACGGGTCAGATCTGTGGAGAGATGAACCCACTCACGCTAAGAACGCATGGTTTGAAGATATACAGGATGTGAGTAATTGAACACCTGTATATGAGTAAATGTAAGACAAAGCAATGATGATATCTTGATGGAGACAAGCAGGTGGTGGACCCTTCACCAGACATGTTACATAGTGCACCTTTAACTTGAGGGTAGTCTTGGTTAAATCGAGTCCTAATATAAACACATCTATCTTGCTAAATATACCATGTGACGACATCAGTCCCTCATCAGAAACATGCCTGAAGAGGTTTTAAATGTCATCAATGCATGTTTGAGTCATCTTGCGATCTCTTATTCAAACCCTCCTTAGTGTCAGCGTTACAGTTCTGTCCACCGCTCAGCTCACCCGCGCTCCCCATGCTTCGGCACAACAATTTTCCATAATTAAACAAAAACAGGATATAAAACAATACACGGCAACTTGTGCGCGCTGATTGTGTTGTGTTGTCACTCTGGAGGGTCAGCGAACGAAACTGCAACATGTTTTCGTCACATAGCAAATGATAAAGGGTAACATGGTGATCTAAATATGTTATGTGTTAGCAATTAATACCCCTCTCCACAGACCCGACCTGTAACTCTGGTGAAGACTGATTTGGGATTCATGTTAAAAAGCCAGTCGAGATTTAGTCTTCTTCCAAAATCAGATATTTTAAACGGAGGTACGTGGAAAGAAAACCACAGTTAAAACGAGAAACACGGTGAAATTCATCAAAACATGTTCAGTTCTTGTTTGAAGAATATTTCCAATGCGGGGGGTATGTTCTCGTGACCTCTGCAGCGTGCACCAAACAAAGAGCTGTCAGACGCTGTGAACATCAGAATGTGTTTTTCCTGTAAAGCTCCGGTCCCCATTGTCATCTGCACCACAAACAGAACCCATAATGAGAGAACAGGAATGACCTCCTGCAGGTTCATTGACTGTCTCTGCCTTCCATTTGCACCTTTGACAACTGTAAGAAGAGATGACAGTAAAAAGGGCCCATATTGCACTTATTTTTCTTATCTCTGGTGTGAAAGTGCATCTTCAGACACATACCAGGAGCTGTTTCACACATGTTGAACATAAACCCTGCATATTTAGAGTTCTTCTCTCTTCTCTGTTCCAGGAAGTTCTCCGCTGTGTTTTTAACTCCATACACCTTTACTAGAGTTATTTAGGTCATTTCAGCCCTGGAATTGCCACTGAATAAGAGATAAAAGTAGCTGGTAACTTGATAACTACCAAACTACTGTTTGAATGAAACAAAACACAACTCCAGGTCTGTTTTTGATGAGGTAACAACATTCTAATGACTTAATTAAAGCTCATAAGAGTCAGTTTATGTAACACCTTTATTACCTTTAAACTTTGCAATATCAGCACAATAATAGTTGAGTACTGTATTTTTCTGACTTTAAGTCGCTCTGAAGTATAAAAAATGCATAATGAAGAAGAAAAAAAAAACATATATAAATCACACCAGACTATAAGTCACACTTTTTGGAGGAAATTTATTTTATAAAATCAGAGACCTGGAACAGACATATCCTGTTGAAAGTCAAGTTGTAGTAATAACAATAGAAGAGAGAACAACAGACTGTTAACGTCACATATGAACAGTTCTTCAGATAAACTATAACATAAACAACAGAACAGAAGAAAGAAGGAGAAGTTTATCAAACTCTCCATCTAAACAGAGCGCTGCTTCCTCTTCTGTGTCGCTGTCGTCAGACTCAGCATCAGTTCCAGTTAGAATTATTCGGGTCTTTCTGAATCCCGACAGGATGGTTTCAGTGTCACTGAAGTCCAGACTTTGTCCATCCATCCAGTGACTTCAGGAAAGTTTCATGGTGCATCCTCCCGGTGTCACAAGTTTCTCTCTCACTCCAAACTTTCTTTCTGCTGCTCGATTATCGTTTTCGGCTTCAGACTTCACAACTTGTAGTTTGTAATCTATAAATCTATAAAATATGATTTTGTTTTTGGGGGCATTTGTGTTCAGTCTTCTCAGTCGTCTTTATAAGTTTGTTTAAATGTTAAATTGTTCCGTGGTGCAGAAGTAACGGTGCGATCGACTGACATGATCCAGACAGAACAGAGGCTCTTTCTGCAGGAGACATGTGCAGTAGAGTGAAGTGACAGTGGTGCAGGAGGAACAGCAGCAGCAGATACTCACACACAAGACTAGAGCTTTCTAATATTAAATTACCTGTAGTCTTGATTTACTTCTATTACTAGTTATGATGTTTTTTTGTTTTTTTTTCTAAATCACAGTTATACATATACAGTTATACAGTTATACAATAAAATAAAATAAAATAAAATGCATCACTTCATCACTGTTCTTTTTTTTTCTCTTTTTTTCTTTTGAGTGGTCAAAAGTCTAAAACACATGGATGATAATAGAGTATGCTGCATCAAAACAAGTGTATGCATATTAAAAGCCCATCTAATTAGAAATAATCTGTAAGTGCACATTCGCATGCCAGTCTCTGAAAGCTGTGAAAAGCAAATGTAAATTCATTGCGATGACTAAATGAACTCTGACATTTTTCACGTTTTAAAAGCAAATAAAAAGACAACGACAAAAAAATCAAGTACACACTTTAACAGTAGATTTTTTCTGTCCCCATCGCCATGAAATCTTCTAACTCTATAGAATTTTGTGATGTCACCCATCCAGAGGCCTGCGATAAGAGAAGATCTTTAACATTCAAACTGTATTTTGTTTTGCAGGAACAGCGTGACCATTGCCTACTTTGCTCTTTCTCTGAACACCTCCAATCTCCATGGAGACGTGTATTTTAACTGCTTCCTGTCCGCGCTGGTGGAAGTCCCGGCCTACGTCCTCTCTTGGGTCATGTTTCGCTGGTGTCCTCGGCGTCTCTGTCTCTCCTCGTCTCTGGTGATGTGCGGAGGCTTCCTGCTGCTCATTCCCTTCATACCTCAAAGTAGGATTTATTCATATTAAAACATTATATACTTTTTTTTTGTGTTTTTTTTGTTTGTTTTTGATTTGTTGACAAGTGTAATGATTGCCTGAGATCTAAAATGCACAACTCTTCAATACTTTACCGAGATGTGAGTCTGGTCACTGGTGAATCTCCCTGAGTTCAGAGTTCAGAGTGTGATTGACATGTGGATAAGCCAATCAGGGACACCCATGGTCCGTCCATATCAGAGAAAATTATCACAGGGGCTGAAAAACATGATGGATTTCTACAGAATCAATGAGTGAAGCACTAACCTTTGATCATCTGAGGAGAGAGAAATGTGATTTTATGTGTAAATGATGGTGACCAGTGAGCTCCTTCGTTTCACATGCGTCACCAAAAAACACAAATCTGACTAGATGAGCGTGTTTGTTCAGGCTTGAGAGGCATCTGTAAAAACATATAGAGAGAGATGAGGGTGGATTTGCCTGGGACGTGAAACAAATAACAAATAACTCATCCTCACCGAGAAAAAGTAGCCACAATAAACACTGACCTCCAAAGATAATTGTCCAATGAGATTCATTTGGTCTTGCTATATTTTATGGGTAACACTTTATAATAACTACATCTTATTTAGCCTTAATAAAGCATGAATAAAGACTTAATTAATAATGATTCATGCCTAGTAAATGTTTAATAAAGGATGATTAGTCTTCACTTTAGAAAAGCTCTCAAAAAGACTTAACTAACAGCTGCCTGAATTATCATTGCATTACATTATTAGTAAATCATTCTCTCATAGCTTACTAATGATTAATAAATGCTCAAATGGTTAGTCCATGAGTAATTAAATATGAAATAATTATGAGTAACTATTTACAGCACAGGCAAATTAAGTGCAAGTGCTAATTAAGGTAGTAATTAAGTAGTTACTAAGCGTGAATCATTATTAATTAAGTCTTTGTTCATTATTAATTAAGCCTTTGTTCATGCTTTATTAAGGAGAAATAAGGTGTAGTTATTATAAAGTGTTACCGATTGTTATTAGGTTCTTTTTTCAGACCAAGAGTTTTGTTTTCATACCTGACAGTTTGTTCTGTTCACTAGGCGTCTTCCTCAGAGTCACGTGATGTTGCTGTGACGTGTCTGGTCAGTTGATTTAAACAGGTTTTGTCTCTGTCTTCCTACCGGTGGAGGCAGGACGACAGCGCCACCTGCAGTCCCACTTCCTCAGGACAGAATCCCAGGTGTGTGAGAGTAAAAAAGCCCCTCGTCCCGGTTTATCGTCCCGTGGGCACGTTGCTGTATTTTGATTGCCTCTTTAATCCAGTGCCGATGTTTGTTTTTATCTGTCCCAGTGATGTTTGCTCCATCCCAGTCTATAGTGTGATTCTCTCTTTTACAATGGTCAGAAACGGCCGATTTGAGTTGTTCCTGTTCTGCTTTGTGTTTTGTTGTTCGTGTACAGGCCTTCGCTGTTTCCTTCTCGCATTCTGTTCCGTGTTCCTTTTTTTGTGTACTGAACTCCCTCCCTGTTTCCCCGATGTGTGTTTTATTGCAGGACATGCAGGTATTTCGTATATGACGTTACATTTATGCTCCGGTTCTATTTTATCTTTCGGGTGGACGAGTAATTGTCTGAGTTTTCTGTACGGTTTCACTGGTGGTGAAACTGTCAGGTATGAAACAAAACTCTTGGTCTGAAAAAAGAACCTAATAACATAATACATCCAAAGATAATTGTTCCATCTGTCAAATATTGAACAAAAGCCAGGATAGTATTCATCATGACAGGCCCGCTCACGTCTCCTCTAATGTGCTGTTTCTCTCGTAGACCTCACGGCCCTCGCCACCGCCCTGGAGATGCTGGGTAAATTTGGGGCGACCGCAGCCTTCACCATCGTCTACGCCTACACCGCCGAACTGTACCCCACCGTCCTGAGGAACACCGCAGTGGCCACCTGCTCCATGGCGGCGCGACTCGGCAGCATCATCGCACCGTACTTCATTTATTTAAGTAAGAAATGAAGAGACTAAACACCGAACTTCACTCACAAACACATTTCAAATAGAGCTGCCACTTGGGGGATTAACAGGTGTCCACACTTCAAACTGTGATAAGGTGAAAAGCTGCAGTCAGGGCAGTCTTTTGTGATGTCACCAACTACCAGTATATAGGCCTTCAGCACATAGCCCTTCTCAGTTTACTTTTTTGAGCAGAAAGCTGCACATTTACCTAGTTTGCTCTAGAAAAAGCTTGTAAAAACAGTAGATACTGGTTAATGGTTAAATAAAGGTAAATAAATACAAATATTAAAACACCATGTGCACAGTTAAAGGGCCTATTTATGCTTTATACTGTTAAAATGTTTCCTCATTAAAAACATACCTGACACGTGTTTACACAAAAACCCTGCATATATGGCCAAGTTCTTCTCTCAAACAGAAAACACTCTGTTCCACTTTGTGATGTCGTAACATAACACAGGAAGTGCTCCACTGTATTTTTAGACGTGCACCTTGATGCGTTTACCGAGTTTCATTAATAGTGAGGATGTTGCCGAAACTTGCATCGCGCTCACGTAAAAATAAACCCCTCAAGTTGTCCGCCTCTTGGGGAACTCATTTTGGTCCCTGAAATCAAACTCTCTTTCCTGATAGAGTATCTACAGTGAACCGGTTCTCATAGCATTTTTTAAGGGCTCCTGGACTTACCCAGATGGTCCGGTCTCTCTCTTCCAGGTCCGTTCTGGCGTTGATAAGTCAAAAGTAACTCTTCAGGATCACAGATTCACTTATCACACCTTCCAGTTCACCTGGTTCAGAGACTCTGGTCACAGTGAGATGAGTACACTAAAAGTACCTCCTAAATGTGGCTCATTGACTATTGCACAAGGGGGGGGGACCTCTGTATAGTTATACATTCATAATGTACTAAGAATTAAGGTTTACAGTTTTACAGTTTAGAATGCAATCTCCAAATTCAGAGCAGAGGGTTAAGTTACTAAGTTTTATCCAAGGCCATCAGAGTAACGAGAGGCCCCAGTCACCTCTCTTGGATCAAAAGTCATGTTTTTGGAGTCTATTCCCCTTGTTAAAGAGGAATCCAAACATCAACTTTGAATGACGGAGGTCTGTGTTATTGGAGCCCCTGTCGAGACGAGACAGGGGCTAATCTTAAACAAATCAAAGCATTGGGGGGGGGGGGGGGTCTTCTTTTATCGTGTTTGGAGTCCTGCTCTGCTGACGTTTCTTCATCAGACATAATATTACATGTTTTCGTCTCTGTTTGCTCGTGCCGGACTTTCCAACTTAGTCTTCACATCAAACCACGCGCTGCCCACGACGTCCTCCTTAATGCTTTAACGGTTTTCTTTTCAAGTTTCCATTGTGTGACCCATCATAAACAGACAGTATCAGTCGTAACGGTCTTTTACAACTGTGATGATATGACCTGTACGCAAACATCAGGTATTCATACAACACACGTGCAGACACTGCTATATGACATGTATGCAAACACAAAGGACGTGGTCATACATGTCATGTAGCAGTGTCTGCACGTGTGTTGTATGAATACCTGATGTTTGCATACAGGTCATATCAGCACAGTTGTAAAAGACCTTTACGACTGATACTGTCTGTTTATGATGAGTCACATAATGGAAACTTGAAAAGAAAACCGTTAAAGCATTAAGGAGGACGTGCAGACATTGCTATATGACATGTATGCAAACACAAGGGATGTTACAATATAATAATAATAATAATAATAATAATAATAATAATAATAGTAAATAACCTATAGTATAATTTGTCTTGTTAAAATCTCTTGTGACTTTTTATGATTATTTTTATATTGCACCATTTTCTGTTGTTCACCATTAACTTACATGTTTATGTTTAGCGCTTTTATTTTGAAGGGTTTATCTTCGTCTAATTACCTTGACAACGAGAAGGGAAAAACGTTACGGAGCAAATGTGTACACATATATTTTGGTATTTTTCTAAGTTTTTGTTTAGCTTTCCCTCTGAAGAGACACAAAGGTATGTTATTGATGTAAATATTTCTTTGAATAATTTTGTGTCTCTAGTTTTTTATTATTGTTGATTGATGTTGTCTAGATTAATGTAAATATTAATCAAACTTGCATTGACTTTTGTGAATGCGTATTTATACATTGTATTTTGTATTCCTTTTAGCTCTTACGGCGGATTGAAGGATTTATTGCCATTAAATCTAAAAATCGCCAGTTCAAGTGTCAGTTTTCATTCAGAGGGATAAGCTACAATAATAATATATGAAACATGTGGTCATACATATATGGCAAACTTAGGCTGCGTTCAGACTGCAGCCTGAAGTGACACAAATCCAATTTTTTGGCTTCTATGTTCCTGTATCTGATCTTTTAATGACAGTCTGAATGACACAGATCCAATTTTTTCAAATGTGACTCAGGACACTTGGATATGTGCTCCTGAAACTGATACATATCTGATCTTTTGACATGTGACTTCAGTGTGAACGGCCAGAGTGCATTAATTCGACCTACACGTTATCAACAAGACACAAACGTCACTATTCTGCGCTGAAGTCGGTGAAAATTGTTAATGAACTCCATGTCACTGAAGTGAAGCACATCTCCACTCACCACTCTTGGCTCCGTCTCCACATCCACACGTTCCTTTCAACAGACTGAACCACAAAACACCACGACCAAAAACCTCGTCCTTCTCCTTCTCAATCTCCTCCTTAAAACAAGTAAGTTGTTCATGTTCTGGCTCCGGTACGAGAGGAACTTTAAAATCTCCAGGTGCTCGATGCTGCGTCCATGTTTGGGCAACTTCTGTAAACACAGAGACGCTCACTGCGGTTGACGTCGTCGTGTCTCCAGTGTCACATGTGGGACACTTTCGGGCTGTTTACTGTTCACACTGGAGTCACATACAAGTCACATTTAATTGGAAATGTGAACAACCTCGACAAAACATCGGATTTCACAAAAAAAATCGGAATTGAGCGTTAGGCCCTGCAGTCTGAACGTAGCTTTAGATTACATATACACATACATATAAGAGTGTAATATATGAACATGAGCACTTGAGATAAGCATCAAAAATGTGTGAGTTCCACCAGAAGGCCGCCTTCACAACAACCTTCACTAGAATCATTTGGATCATTCCAATCCTATAACTGTCAGTCTCTACTGGACTAAAGGTAAAAGGAGCTGTTCACTTGAAAACTACCACTTCATGACATCACAACATGGAACAGAGTGAAACTAGACTTTTGCATTATATGAAAGGAAGTCATGTTAACTGCTTCTATAAAATATTTTAACATGATTACTGTTTATTCACAAGAAAACATTTGATTTTTCCTTGGAATAAAAAAAAAAAAAAAAAAAAAGTTGTTGATATGTAAGAGACACCTGGTCTCCTGGTGAAATAGGGGTTACTGGGTGAAAAGGTCGGGTTAGGTAACGTTTTATGCTCCTCTGTTTCCTCAGTCAGCTCCTCTGTTGGCTCCCTCTAGGGTTTAAGTGAGTGAATTACACTTCAGGAATAAAGGCGGTCGGGACGTCATGTAAATACAGCCTTTATTTAGGACTAGCACAAAGTCTAGTGGCACATATTGTCTTAAAATCTACGACTACATTCACCGCCTCCTTCCGCTGCTTTTGTGTCATGCTCTGCCCTCCCCACTCTCTCCGTCTCTCTCTGTCTCTCTGTCTCTCTCTGTCTCTGAAAGATTGAATTTCTTATGCATTTCTACCTATTCTATCTTGAGACATTTCTTTCTGGATTAATAATCAATCAATCTCCCTCCCTTTCTCATTCTCTCTTTAGCTCCCCCCATCTTTCTGTTGCTCTCTCTGCCCTCTTCTGTCTTTGTCTCTGTGTCTCTCTCCCCTGTGAAAGCCTGAGTTTGTCGTTTCTTTCCACAGGGAGCTTGTGGGTGTCGTTGCCGTACATGCTGATGGGGGCCCTCACTGTTGTGACTGGAGTCATGAGTCTGCTGCTGCCGGAGAGCCACGGCCTTCCTCTGCCCGAGACCGTGGGCCAGATGCAGCCTTTCCCCGGGTACGACGCGCACCACACGGACACGTTAGGCACAATTTGAAGGCCCATTTTGAGAGTGAAGTGAAAGCACGGCAACTGACTTTCTGCTCTTTTTATTGTAATAATATTTTAAAACAGTGGCTCTCAAATTTTTCAGTTTTCCGAGTACCATCGGATCTAAAGCAGGTCCATAACACGACTATTCCAGATCCAGAGATGGAAGAAATACTGACAAATTGTAATTAAGTGAAAGTATCTTTACTTTGATTAATTCCTACTCAAGTAAAAGCAAAAGTAACCATCTAAAAATCTACTCGTGTAAATGTTTAAAAAAAAAAAAGTACTTGATTTAAAATGTAATTTGTGTAAAAGTTACTGAGTTACTTTGAGTTATTTGATGTAAAAAAGGATGACGAGTTGTTTTTGTCAACTTTTAGGTGATACAGTACAAACTCTGTACATTTTAAAGACAACTTCGTTCACTAATACTGACTATTTTAACACTGCATTTGCATTATTATGTTATTACTATTTTGCGTTTAAACACAAATATCTGTCCGAGGTTTGGCCAAGGGTTTGTTTCAATATTGTCCATCACGACCTCGATCTGTGGCTCAAACCAGCATCATCCAAGTTGATCCGAGATAAAGTGACAGTTCTGCACAGTAATTGTACACTCTCTAGTGAAAATGCCGCATGCACAACCTGCACAATTTACTTTCATTTATTTATTTATTTATTTGTTTGTTTATTTATTCTCTGTCAATCTGATTTTCCTCAGTAACAAGGGCAGGTTCCAACGTAATGCAATAAAATACTTGGGTCAAAATGTACTCGGGTAAAACTAAAATGACCTATTTCAAAAACTATTTAAAAAATTACAAACTACTCACAAAAACTGCTCAGTTATAGTAATGTGAGTAAATGTAATTCGTTACTTTTCCACCCTTGTCCAGATCTAATCCCGGTCTAAACGTGGACTCCATCATTTCCATTTGTAGCTCTAAACAAGAAATGATCCAAAGGAAGACAAAAAGTTATAAAAGTATCATCCTTGTGCTCAGTGTTTATCATAGTCTTAAAAAAATACAGGAAGAGTAGCACTGATGACACACAGAAAACTCCATCCAAAAAGCAGAGAGAATTTATATATAAAGAAAGCATTTTTTCTGACATTTAACAATATAAAGCTGTTGTCATTTATTTATTAGTCCACCCATAACTGTTGTGTAATTTACGGTTGCTAAGTAACATGAAATTACCTGTATGTCACAACTGCCGCCAGCCCCGATGCACGTTTATCACATTTATCACAATTAAAACCCCAAGGAGAAAAAATGCTCACGTGCAAAAGCAGCGATTAAAAACAAATGTAGCAGACTGTTTTAACGTTTTGTGTAGCATCAGTTTAGAAAAGAAAGCCTCAGAGTCTTCCAAGTCCGTAGCACTAAATAAATACATACATAGTTAGTTAATTAGTTAAAAAAATATAAATAGTGGGCTGAATTTTGATTGATATGTAAGCCTGAAGGTGAAAAATCAAAATCAAATTAGCGTTCATTCAGTGACAACACACAACATTGTTCTAGTTTCTTCTTTTCTAGTTTATTTTTAGAGGTTGAAGTCAAAAACGGTTCATCCCAAAGCTCGCATCAGTTTAATGCATGATAACCTGCCTTGTTTTTTCTTCAGATTCTACGTCATTTGACCTGATAAAACATGGTGTAATTGTTGAATGTAATTAAATGTGGATTGACCGTTTCCTTTCCTCTTCAGCTGCTGTGTGAACAAGCCTTATGAACCTACGGGCGACAAAGAAGAAGAGGAACCAATAGAAACAAAGTCTTCGATATAATTTGATGAAGCCCATATCCAAAATCAAATACAGTAAATATACACTCCATCTTTTTGTCCAATAATGCCAAAGGTGCAACTGAAGTAAAAGACTGGACTGTTTTGAGCCATGGTCAGGGACAATTCTAAGGCTCTGATAAACGTTAAATGTATAATAATTAATAGGCTAATTATTATATGATTAATGAAAAACTAAATAATAACGTGTGCGTTAATATTTAGTTTGTACTATACAATCAAAGCATTTTTACTGCACATCGTTTTATATCCTCATGTTTACTGTTTCATACTAGTTCAAGTGAATAAAATGTTTTCTCTGGGGTGAGCATATTCTTGATGAAAACCATGGAATAAAAATGACATGTTTATTATGTTTATTGCTGGGTTTCAGATTCCAGAGAGATACTTTATTGATCCTGAGGGAAATTCAAGTTTTGTTGCAGCGACATATCCACTCAGTGTCCTTTGTGTCTGAGGTCAGTTTGACAGGAGGACTGGTCAGGGAGGCTCAGCAGATCCTGTGGAAGAGACAAAAGTGTCCCTCCTCAGCGTCACAGCAGAGTCCAGTGTTCCACAGTTTCAGTTGGTGACAAAAAGGTCCATTTCCTCATAGGATTTCCCCTGAAGGTCTTGTGCGACATTTGCTGCCACAAATGATGTAAAAAACCCGTAGCCACTCAAATGTCCATAGCTCTTTAACTGACTCCATAGCTGGCCTCATGCATTGTCACCATGGATATAGGAAAGAAAAACAGCTCATTTCACACTTGTGTCCTTTAGACTACACATGCTGCACTTCTCAGTTGGTTAAAATCCCATGATATGATGTTAAAAATGTTATACAGTGAATTCTAGAGTTTAATCATAAATGAAAATATCAGGTTCAACATTTATGAATTTACCTGTTGGATATTTTATGGTAAAGTACAACGTAATCAAAAGACAAATCTGTGCCTTTCCCTCATTTGGGAGTATGACATCATCACGTACCTAAAACGTGTAACCACCAATCAACGGTCAATAGCTGAAGGGAAGCGCTCACACATGCGCAGTTGTGCTTCAGGTTGGTCTGTGTTTTCACCTACGTCCGCAAACACCGAATATAAGAAGCAGCACAAAATTTTACCTGAATTTAAAAATCGAAAATGAGCGGCCGCGGCAAAGGAGGCAAAGGACTCGGAAAAGGGGGCGCCAAGCGTCACCGTAAGGTTCTCCGTGACAACATCCAAGGCATCACCAAACCCGCTATCCGCCGTCTGGCTCGCCGCGGCGGTGTGAAGCGTATCTCCGGTCTGATCTACGAGGAGACTCGCGGTGTGCTCAAGGTTTTCCTGGAGAATGTGATTCGTGACGCCGTCACTTACACCGAGCACGCCAAGAGGAAGACTGTGACCGCCATGGACGTGGTGTACGCCCTGAAGAGACAGGGCCGCACTCTGTACGGCTTCGGAGGTTAAACTCACAGCACCGACCTCAACTAAACCAACGGCTCTTTTAAGAGCCACGCACCACACGGAAGAGTAACTTCTTATAATTGTTTAAATCTCTGGCTAAAGAATGTGACATTAAATTAGTTAACGCTCATCTCCACCTATGCTCTGTAAAATGTTAATTAAATGTGTACAAAGGTTCACACGGTGTAATATGTGCAGAAAACAATCTAACACTTCGGTTTTCCTGATGTTAATGTTGATCCTTTGAGACTAATGTTGAGTTTCAGAATACCACTAATATGCAGTTACTGAAAATTCATGCCATCTTTAATCATAAAATACTGACTTGAATCAAAGTAGCACTAATGACACACAGAAAATTCCATCCCGAAAGCAGAGACAATTTATATACGAAGAAAGCATTTTTTCTGACATTTAACAAAATACTGATTTGAATGGAACGTGTCTGGCATTCTCTTAAATTAAACCTCAGATGGCTCCTAGGTAAATAGTCAAAGTGCAGCCACATCAAGCAACAGAAAATATAGGCAATTAGGCAACAGTTACTTCAAATTAAGTGCAATTTCAACAATGGGGACTTCTTCACATATTGTCTGGGTGAGGCACTTTATGAAGAGGCATCACAAATTGTTTCTCCAGTCCTGCAAAAAAACAACAAAAAACTGAAAAGGGGTGTCTAGAGCAGCCATCAGAATTCTACACGATCACGCAGCCCAAGTGCCTTCAGACAAGAGGAGTGTCTCTGAGCTTACCACAGTTAATGACTGAGTGTAGGGTGAAGGAAGGTGTTTCAACATTTGCATAGCACAAACCATCAAACCATGGTTCTGAATTGTGAAGCCTCGGCCTGTAAGGATTAAATCTCCTGGTAAAGATGATTCAAGAAGCCACTGTGTTCTGTAATAAAGTGTTATCTGCCCACACCAGCCCTTTGACATGAAGGAGATCACAACTTTTGGAGTAATGCTTATGAGGTATTTCATTGTGCTGTGGGATTTATTTTGAGTGTACATTTGTGCCCTTACATTTAAATATTGAGTCTTATCCACACATATCTGTAAATAGTCTATGATTGACATACAATGTTTGAAAGATTTTCTGAAACACACAGGCAGGTTTGAACATACTCTCTGCGGCCAAAACACACATACTAGTACCAAAATGTATAACATTAATGACATTTGTCAAAACACTGGGAATAGTAGAAGTATGAATACCGAATAGATACAAAAATGAAATTGATAAATAATCTCAGAGTGTCATGTGTGTAATGTAATAGCAGCTGTTGAAAACATGTCAAGTGTGCAGTGTCTTTGAGAGCTGGCTCAACCAGATCAAATCTCACCGTAAACACTTGATAACTGTGTAGTCTTGTAAGTGTCTTTAGCATGTCTTTATTTAAAAAGAGATGTGAGTTTAACTTCTCTTTCAGTTCATATAGTTCACTCTGAAGGAGCTGACACTCACACTGAAGTGATTCTATGTGCTTTCTAGTCAGATCAGTATGGGTCCATCCCAGATCCATGATCCATCCTTAACTGACCCGGTCATCTCTGCTGAGACATTGAGGAGAGCTCTGGTGGCTTCATAAGTTTGGAAATTTCTCAGGGCACACCTTTCGGCAGAGAAGATGGTGTGAACAAAAAGTGATGGCACATCATAGGTGACAGAGGGCCCCTACTATTCTGTCCTGAAAAAAAAAAAAAATAGAAACAAGATATACAAGACATATCAATCTAATCAAAGCAGCCAGTGCTTCCAACATAGGTACGTGCACATCAATAGAAAACCTATTTCTTCTGTGTTCTGTCTTGTACTAATGATTTCACCTCGAGTGAACAATCACTCACATTCACATAAACCTATGAGACAGGGGTGTGCTACTTGTATTGGATATTGTATTCGTGAGTAAGCAATGATGTTCTCCTGAGTTCAATTTACAAAAAGGCATCATATTCAAGGCAAGTACCCCAGGTTTATACAAATCATTATTAATGCCAATAATTGATACTCATGTTTTTTTGTTTTTGTTTTTTTATGTTAAAATGACCTCTTGTATATAATTATGATATACTGTATTTATATTACGATATTTGTTTTTTACTTAATTTACATTTATGTCTTATTGATACCAATCTTTTGCCATGTTTTTTTTTACTACGTATTTAGAAGTGTATTACCATTTTTTCTATATATTTTTTACTCAGAGTTATTGTAATATGATATGATATGTGAGCTTCTGTGTCCAAGTAAATTACCTTGTGGATCAATAAAGTTTGTCTAAGTTGAAGTCTAATGTCATTAGCATTATAACAGACTCTGCAAAGAGACAATTACTACAGTGTGCTGCCGCATTCGGGCCAAAGGGGGCGGTAGTAAGAAAGAAACAAGAAAACAGAGGGATATATAAACTCGACCAATCAGATGTGAGGATCCGCACAACTGTTTTACATGAGGCGGGTATTAATAGAGCGAGCAGGCGGCCGTACAGACATTCGTTCGCCTGTTTGCAGAAGAACACATCATGCCTGATCCAGCAAAGACCGCGCCCAAGAAGGGCTCCAAGAAAGCCGTGACTAAGACCGCCGGCAAAGGCGGCAAGAAGAAGAGAAAGACCAGGAAGGAGAGCTACGCCATCTACGTGTACAAGGTGCTCAAGCAGGTCCACCCAGACACCGGCATCTCCTCCAAGGCCATGAGCATCATGAACTCCTTTGTCAACGACATCTTCGAGAGGATCGGCGGAGAAGCCTCCCGCCTGGCGCTCTACAACAAGCGCTCCACCATCACCTCCAGGGAGATCCAGACCGCCGTGCGCCTCCTGCTGCCCGGAGAGCTGGCCAAGCACGCCGTGTCCGAGGGCACAAAGGCCGTCACCAAGTACACCAGCTCCAAGTAAACCACCTTCTCACATCCCAAAACAACGGTCCTTCTCAGGGCCACCCACATCTCTAAAAGAGCAGTTTCTGTTATGCGTCAATCAATTTGAACTCCCTCACTGCGTGAGCCCTTCACCAGAGCTTTCCTGTTGCACAAAGCTAGCGCAAAACATGTAACCAGCTGTACCAGCTGTGTAAAGTGTTAAACTGGTAAAGTAAGTCTGTCTTTAATTATGACACTTTAACACTTAGGTTCTGGTTCTCATCGCTTTTGTTTCCTCAATTCCTGTGAGACTAACTGCTGCTTTTAACAAATAAAAGGCTAAAACGGGTCTTTATCGTGAATTAAATCAGTCTCTAAAACTGTATATAGGCGAAGATATTTACTGTTGGATTAGATATATCGTATATTTTAACACGATGCGCTTCATTGTTTTAATTTTTGTTTCTGCTGGAAAACCACCATTGAGCGGAAGCCCGGTGGCCGATGCCTATTGGTGAAAAAACAGCCCCGCCCTGAGACCGTTTTCTCCTACGTCCGCAAAGTCTCCATTAAAAACAGCGGAGGCGCGCAGCGTGACAGGCAGTTTTCACCGTCTACGAGAAAGCAGCGAAAATGAGCGGCCGGTAAAGGAGGCAAAGGACTCGGAAAAGGGGGCGCTAAGCGTCACCGTAAGGTTCTCCGTGACAACATCCAGGGCATCACCAAGCCCGCTATCCGCCGTCTGGCTCGCCGCGGCGGTGTGAAGCGTATCTCCGGTCTGATCTACGAGGAGACTCGCGGTGTGCTCAAGGTTTTCCTGGAGAACGTGATTCGTGACGCCGTCACTTACACCGAACACGCCAAGAGGAAGACTGTGACCGCCATGGACGTGGTGTACGCCCTGAAGAGACAGGGCCGCACTCTGTACGGCTTCGGAGGTTAAACTCACAGCACCGACCTCAACTAAACCAACGGCTCTTTTAAGAGCCACGCACTTCTTAAAAAAAAAGGCAAATTTTCTCTGCGGAGTAACTATCACAGGGTTCACCCTTCACACATTTTGGTTTAATTTATATTTACACTGTAATTATATTTAGAGCTCGCAGCTGATGGAGTGTAGCTAGTGCTATTTTTGAGCTCACATCTGAAGTATTCTTTGTGGTTTTGGCGGCAGTGATGTGCATAAGAAAATACAGTATAGCATATAGTGGAAATGAAAAGGTTTTAGAATAACTTTAGAGACATCAGTACCAGTGCAGACTGAATTAAGGCTTCTAGTCAGTTATTTTATTTAGATTATGAGGATTTGTCTGGGACAAGTTAGTGAGTGAAATATTTGAAGATGTGGTATTTATTGGTATTTTTATGTAGAGTTTAATCTGTCTTTATATTTTACATTGTCTCCTGTCTTAACAGAGGTGGGGACCTGCGAGTCGTGACATGGACTCAAGTCAGACTTGAGTGACTGTTTTTAGGACTTGAGACTTGACTTGATAAAACGGACTAAGACTTGGGACTCGATTTGGACTTGAAGGTCAGTGACTTGGGACTTGACGCAGACTTGATGTTTTTAGAAAATACTTTTCTCTTTACAGTTGATAAATGCAGTAATTATTTTTACTAGAACATGTTCCTCCGACTTCTCTGTTTGTTACTCTGGTTGTAACTTAAGTATCATGGTATCATCAAATGTAATATACAGCAGGAGTTTAACATTTTTAAATCATGGGACCTGACTTTTTCTGAACCGGGGGGGCTATCTCATATTAAATGTTATTAAATATTTGTAAATAAATAAACTTTAGACAAGCTACAATTGATATTTCATGAAATACTGCAGCAGTTATGGGAAAAAAAGTTGAATTTCCTGGATTTTTTGAAATAGTTAACAAATTCAGAACAGATACATTTGTTTTAAATATATATATATATATACACACACAATATTATAATTTGGAATTGAGAGTATGTACAAATTCACTGTGCAAGTTTATATATATATTAAATAAAAAAAAAAAAAAAAGCAAGCTTATGTAATAGTGTTATTCATGGAAGTTTGACCCTCCGGGCCTGTAGGTGGCTCTTAAAAGAGCCGTTGTGTAGGTTCAGTCAAGAACTTAAGCCCTCTCTCCCCGGATGCGGCGGGCCAGCTGGATGTCTTTGGGCATGATGGTGACTCTCTTGGCATGGATGGCGCACAGATTGGTGTCCTCAAACAGACCCACCAGGTAGGCCTCGCTGGCCTCCTGCAGAGCCATAACGGCGGAGCTCTGGAAGCGCAGGTCGGTCTTGAAGTCCTGGGCGATCTCCCTCACCAGACGCTGGAAGGGCAGTTTGCGGATGAGCAGTTCAGTGGACTTCTGGTAACGGCGGATCTCCCTCAAAGCCACAGTTCCGGGCCTGTAGCGGTGAGGCTTCTTGACGCCGCCAGTAGCCGGAGCGCTTTTACGAGCTGCTTTTGTAGCAAGTTGCTTCCTGGGAGCCTTTCCTCCGGTAGATTTACGCGCGGTCTGCTTGGTTCTGGCCATGTTTTCAGCTCGATGTGTTCACTCTGAGACTAAGTGAGCGGGAAACGGAGGCAGAGGCTTTTTATACAAACCAGGGCGAAGCTGATTGGCTACGCGGGGCTCGCGCTCTGAATTCAAACTTTGACCACGCCTTTGTCTCGCGCGCTCTTTCATGAACGAGTTATTAGAAATGATGACATTTGTCTTTGAAATGGTAACAGCTCCTTTGGTCCCCAAGTGTAATGACAAAACTATCTCCATTTCAACTTCTCATTCTCTCTCCCTCTCTCTCTATATATATATACATTATATATATATAGATAGATATATATAATTTTATTAATATATATATATATATATATAAATGAATGTATTACAATTCTCATTCGTTTCAACTTTCATATCAAAGTGTTTGATAAAATATAAACGCCTACAACAGGAGCTGCAGCACTTCCTACTGCCTTCATTTAATAATATGAATTTCTGAAGTTTCTCAATGCACTGATGAAATTGTTTTTAATTATACTTCTTATGGCTTGTGATATTTTAACAGAACTAATGGCGCAGGATGGGGCTCCCAAATAAAATACAATACGTCATGTAATATCCTAAATAATGTGATCGTGCACATAGTGAGAGAGATGAGCTCTTCAGAGGGAGTGGTGGCTCTTAAAAGAGCCTTTTTGTGGTGGGAGTCTCTGAGACTTTACTTCTTGGCCTTTTTGGGAGCGGCCTTCTTCGCGGGGGCCTTCTTGGGGGTCTTCTTCACCGCCTTAGGCTTCTTGGGCGCCGCTTTCTTGGGGCTCTTTGCGGGCTTCTTGGCTGCTGCTTTTTTAGGCGCTGCCTTCTTTGCCGCTTTCTTGGCTGGGGACTTGGGCTTCTTGGCTGCGGGCTTCTTGACGGCAGCCTTCTTCTTGGGGCTGGCTGCTTTCTTTACCGCAGGCTTCTTCGGTTTTGCAGCGGCCTTCTTCTTCACGATCTTGGGTTTGGCCTCCTTCTTGGCCAGTTTGAAAGAGCCGGAGGCGCCCGTGCCCTTGGTCTGGCTCACAGCGCCGGAGGTCACCAGCTTCTTAAGGGCGGTGTTGATGCGCTTGTTGGCCTTGGTCACATCCACGCCCTTTGCGGCCAGAGCTTTCTTCAGGGCGGCCACGGAGACGCCTTTGCGCTCCTTGGACGCAGCGATCTCGCCGGTGATGAGCTTCTGGAGGCTGGGGCCCTCGTTCTTGGCTGCGGCCTTCTTCCTTGGGGCCTTGGGTTTGGCCGCGGCGGGGGCCTGTGTAGGAGCGGTCTCTGTCATGTTTCTAGAATCAGGTGAGATGCGAGTGCAGCAGGGCGCGCGCGCGCTCGACTTATAACACACATGAGAACCGTAGAGACTCAACCCCCTCTGCCGACCGGCCGAGGCTCCGCTCTGTGTTTTCTCTTCACACTTTAAACTTCAAAACACACAAATACGACATGTTTTAGATGAGCTTCTTTAGATCAGCCTTTAGTTCAGACTTATATATTTTAATTTAAAACAGCCACATTCGCACAAAGTCCTGCGTTTAAAATTACAAGCCATCAAACCCTGCCCGTGCGCATACAAGAGAGACACTCTGCTTCGACTTTTTCCAACATTTAGCCTTAAATCGGACAAATCTTTGAAAGATAATTAACAATTTGTGTTTAGATCATATAAAGAGACGTCAAACATTAAACCTACAGATTAAACTCGCGTTGTGGCGTCAGAGTTTAGTTGTAATTCACCGAGTTCGTGGCAGTAGTAAACACAAGTGCGGAGGCGCCTTTCTGTCAGTTTGCACTCCAGCACTGCTGACTCTTCATGTCCATGTATGTGGGACACTCTAATTATATTAACCTCACACTTGCACATTATTGCAATTTTTAGTTGTTTTGACAAACTTTCTGTTTTAGAAGTAAATTGTAGTCTGATTTATTGAAAGTTATTTTGAAACTGAATGCATTTTGTTTACTCATGTCACCAGGAGTATTTGATAATCAGAGCAATGTCGTGCTGTCCACACACCCCAAAAGTCAGATCATTATTAGATTATGTGATTTCTGTCATTAACAGATTTTTTTGTTTTCATGTAAAATGTCTCAGATTCTGTTTTTGCTTTGCAGATGCCACAGACTCATCTCTCTTGGGTGCATTCATTGAACTACTGACCCTTTATCACCTTATTTCACTGCTGAAGTCTTGTATTTTTATATGTTTCCTGTGTTACATAAAATCATTTGCCTCTTTGCCCAACACACATAATTATTAATGATTAAATTAAATACATACTTCAAGTCACACCTTCAATACAACAGGTTTCAAATATATTTACATTTGTATTTTGTACAGGATGTATTTGAATTACTGAATGAAATAGAGTGGATATTTTCTGTGTCTGTGGTTCCTCCTGCTGTGTGAGAAGAGTCTAAGCGTAGCTACAGTGGTTCGTCAGAAAAAAAAAGACTTCACTCTCCATACTGATGTTCATGAGTCAACATTTATTCTCCAACTTTCACAATCTCAATACCGTGAAAACTTAAAAGACAGAGAAGATCTGCTCGGCTCGTATGCATTAGTGTACTTCCAAATGAATACAGAATAAAATATTTATAATCAGCAGCAGTATTTTCTTTTTGTTTGATGTCTTTTCTCTGCACTTTAGTCTGTACTTCTATCTGTCCTCACTTAAACAGATACTCGTTCTCTCTCTGTTTAACTTCCAGAGCAGTACAAGCGGTCACATTACTTTGCAAATACATAAAATAATGACAACAGAGTTTAACACAGTTTGGTAAGTTACCTCTCCTAATTTGAACAAATATTAGAACAAATAATTTTTGGTCTTTCATCAACTTTTCTGTAACCATAGAAAAAAATAGGCTGGTATTAACAAATAACATGCACTACATTAATCCTTTTGTAACAACAATATAAAAACAAATAACTAAAGCTCTAAGCTCAGTGATATGTAATAATGCTTTTCTTTGAGTTTAGGAATAACTTATGAACAAACTGTAGAACTGTGGATGGAACTACAGTAATCACTGCTTTGTGCCCTCAATATTTTAAGTACATGGTGAGACGAGGACAGTAATGAGTAATGTAGCTGTGCATTATTTTAAAACGCTCCCGAGTCAGTTGCGATGAGCCATCTAAAGTCTATTTTATGATTTCATGGAACATCACCTACAAAATTATGCTCAATACTTTATTTGTTAGCCAATTACTTTAAATTATGTGCTAAAAATGTCAGCCCGTTTACTAATAAGCTAAAGGAATTCTTGTAGAATTTAACTTACAGCTTTAGTATCAACGTGTCACTAAAATTAACTCATGAAAAAAAACACCAACTACAGAAGCACAATATATTCGTGGTTTGGTAATTCGGAAGCTTTGCTTTAAAGTTGGTGCGTGGCTCTTAAAAGAGCCGTTGGTTTAGTTGGGGTCGGTGCTGTGAGTTTAACCTCCGAAGCCGTACAGAGTGCGGCCCTGTCTCTTCAGGGCGTACACCACGTCCATGGCGGTCACAGTCTTCCTCTTGGCGTGCTCGGTGTAAGTGACGGCGTCACGAATCACGTTCTCCAGGAAAACCTTGAGCACACCGCGGGTCTCCTTCGTAGATCAGACCGGAGATACGCTTCACACCGCCGCGGCGAGCCAGACGGCGGATAGCGGGCTTGGTGATGCCCTGGATGTTATCACGAAGAACCTTACGGTGACGCTTGGCGCCCCCTTTTCCGAGTCCTTTGCCTCCTTTTCCGCGGCCGCTCATTTTCGCTGCTTTCTCGTAGACGGTGAAAACTGCCTGTCGTGCCGCGCGCCTCCGCTGTTTTTATGAAGCTTTTGCGGACGTAGGAGAAAACGGTCTTGGGGCGGGGCCGGGCCGGTTTTCAACAATAGGCACGTGCTAGGGGGCTTCATCCCAGCGGTGGTTTTCCAGCAGGAACAAAAATTAAAACAATGAAGCGCATTGTGTTAAAATATACGATATATCTAATCCAACAGTAAATATCTTAATCATCTATATACGTATAGACCCCTCATCAGTTTTAGAGACCGATTTAGTTCACGAAAAAGACCAGTTTCAGCTTTAAATTCTCCCCTTTTAATTCTGTTTTAATTTTATTTTAAGCACTGTGGACCCAGCAGTTACTTGACAGGAAAATAAATGGTTCTTTTGATTAAGTTGATGTATTGAACACAATGTTCAGACCAGACTTACATGCAATATATTTTACATCTTACACAGGTTTAATACAGTTAAGTCAATCTCGTGTGTTTCGCGCTGGCATTGTTCAGTGTAACAGGAAAAGGTCTGGTGAAGGGCTCACACAGTGAGGAAGTTCAATTGATTGACGCTTAACAGAAACGGCTCTTTTAGAGAAGTGGGTGGCCCTGAGAAGGACCGTTGTTTTGGGATGTGAGAAGGCGCAGTTTACTTGGAGCTGGTGTACTTGGTGACGGCCTTTGTGCCCTCGGACACGGCGTGCTTGGCCAGCTCTCCGGGCAGCAGGAGGCGCACGGCGGTCTGGATCTCCCTGGAGGTGATGGTGGAGCGCTTGTTGTAATGCGCCAGTCGGGAGGCTTCTCCTGCCGATCCTCTCGAAGATGTCGTTGACAAAGGAGTTCATGATGCTCATGGCCTTGGAGGAGATGCCGGTGTCGGGGTGGACCTGCTTGAGCACCTTGTACACGTAGATGGCGTAGCTCTCCTTCCTGGTCTTTCTCTTCTTCTTGCCGCCTTTGCCGGCGGTCTTGGTCACGGCTTTCTTGGAGCCCTTCTTGGGCGCGGTCTTCGCTGGATCAGGCATGACGTGTTCTTCTGCAAACAGGTGAACGAATGTCTGTATAGCTGCCCCCTACTCGCTCTATTAATACCCACCTCATGTAAAACAGTTGCGCCGATCCTCACATCTGATTGGTCGATTGCCGTTCCTCTCTTTTTTTTTTCATTTTGTTTCTTTTCTCATTGTCGCCCCCTTTGGCCCGAACGTGGCAATACACATTAATAATAACAGTTCTCTTGTTCCATTCAGTTGACATACTAGAACGTGTAGAAGCTATTACAAGAAAATTGTTCTGTTCAGTAGCGTTAAAAATATAATGGCTTCCAAAATGACGGGCAAAACTCACTGGATTAAATGAGGTGTGTGATTATCAGAGGTGGGAACTCAGAGTCACACTTGACCAACTGAACATGTCTCTCCTCACTTTTCTATTTGTGACCAAGGCACAGTTGAGTAGGACTATTTTAGTTTACTGAACATACATTACATACATTGCATTTTGTAATTTGGAATAAATACTACACTCAACTTTTACTAAGGTCAGAGACTTGGTCCAGGATGTTAATTAGAGAGTGAAGTAAATATGTGTCAGATAGAACAGTCATTTATCAGACTGTGTCCGACTGGGGTCTCACAGTCTCTGGATGAAAACCTGGCTCACACAGGTTTTCACTAGTCTTTCAGAAGACTTTTACATTGTGTTACTAGCGCCTCTGTGTCTCTTTATAAAATATAGTTCTGTGTGTGTTCAGTTTTGTCCTTTGTGTCTTTGGTCTGTGGACTGTGAGAGTGTTCGGTGTTTATGTACACAGATATCACTCCTGCAGAAAGAGGTACAGCTGTAACCTGTGTTTAAAAAGCTGATCTGTTAAAGGTAGGGTTCTGTTAAAGGTGTTCTGTAGTTTGGATCTGAAAGTAATGCTTGAAAATTGATTCAAGTTTGTGCCAACATGAACTGAGTTTTACCTCCTGAGTATTTGCTCTCAGGGGCCACACAGAATGCAGCCTCACACTGGGGTTCACAGATGTATTTTGGACTGGAAAAGCTTTGTGTTTTTGTCTAAACCTGTCTGTATTGCGTACTGTAAAATATAAATGTCCACATTACCAAGAGCAAAGTCGATTTTGAATTCTACCATACTGTTTGACCCAAACTCTGTCTCTTTCAGTAGAAACTCAAAGTCCTTTAGCACATGAGACACAACTGTAGTGTTGATAAAACAAGCTGAAGTCACTGATCATGTGTGTTTGTGAATGAGAGCTGCGCAAAGTGTTCTGAGATAGAGCCTGAAAACTGTTCAGACACAATCAAAATGAAGTGTCATTTCAAATTTCCTTAAAATTAAAAATAAATTAGTTAAAATCATATGTGACACGCTCCTGTATTGAAAATGTACAGAGCAAAACAGCTCACATACAATCCTAAATTGAATTCTTATGTAAGACTGATACAAACAGCTCATTGTCACGTGTTTGTGGAAGAATCATGGATCTATAGAAGGGTCAGTCCATATGAAACCTGCCGTTTTTGAGGAATCTCCTCGATGAGCCGTCTCAGATTTGACTGGAAAAAAAAAAAAAAAATTAAAAATCTAAAATTACCAAATGAAAGAATCTAAAATTTTAGCTCAATCCCTTCAGTCGTTCCTGAGTTATGGCCCGTTGAAATTTTGGGGCCATGCTCACTTTTTGAGAGACCATATCTTTGTGAAAAATAGAGCTAGGAAGCTGAAAATTTATATTATTGTAGATTTTAAAAAAATATGTATTGTAGATTAGATGTTGTAGATGTAGGTCATAGATTGTAAATCTGTTGTCAAATATTCTTTATTAAGGGAGGTGCTGTGGGCCCTCAAAAATCTCACATTTGGTTGCCACTCTTTTTTTTTTTTTTCAGTATTTGAGGTCCAAGATTTACTCCAGGCAGATATTTACAAACTAACTGTTGAACCTGAATATTTGAGAGAATGACCATTACTGACAGCAATCTCACACTAGTTTGAGTTTTCATGTGGATGGTGTAGAGTCCTAATTGATTAAACTGTTTTACCAGAGAAACTTTGGCACATTCTGATTAGTTTGGCATATTCTTCATTTGATTATCAAGTGTCTTTTCATTTTGTCCAGTTCACTGCTTCTATTTGATTGTGGTTCAGGAAGCTTAGAAGCTTTTTACATTGCAGATCAACTCAAAATATTTATGTATCACGGATATGTCAGAAAGCAAAGTGAACAGAGCACTAAACTGTACATGTCTCCCTCTGCTGGTGCTTGAAGGTTAGGTCAGGCCAGGTTGCTTTATTTGTACCCGTAGGTAAATTTGCTTTGCAGATTTGAGAGGCAGGTTCCACATTTCACATTTCACATTTCATTCATCCACAAAACACACATAAAATCACAATTACAAAATAAAGTGTTACAGATGCTCCAGTGCAGAATGGTTTGTTCCATAAACAACCAATTCAAATCATCCATCATGCTTGGCTAAAATCACAATAAATATTAAATATGTTAAAAACACACAATCTTAGATAAATAAATTAAAATGTATTCATAAGTACGACAGCAGACGGAATGAAGCTCCTTTTAAAACGATTCGTTCTAGATCTTGGGACTAAAAACCTCTGACCAGAGAGAAGCAGCTGAAACTCTGAGTTTAGTGGATGTTGCACGTCTCTTAAAATACTCTGGGACTTTCTCTGTAAGTGTCTCGAGTCCAGAGAGTCCAGCGGCTCTGAGGATGAACAATCACCAAACTCGCCCATTTAACTGATTCAGGGAGTTCTTGTTTTTAGCAGAAATGACCCAAACCACGAGACCAATGAAAACGTTAAAACTGATTCCAGAAATGTTTTATAAAACAGTGTCATCATGGTTCTGCCTACACGGTAAAAGGAAAACAATGAGTTCCAGGATATTTATGAGTCCACACACTCAACTGACGGCCCCTTTATCTCTGTGACATCACACTGAGGCGCTGAAGTTCACTGTGAGTGCTTAGAAACTGTGTTCCAGGAGGCACTGATAACACGGACCATAGGAAGCAGATGGACGCTCACTTGCGCCGCCTGGCTGACAGAATGGAGACGGGCACGGGGGACTGTGCTCTGCCAGTCTGAAGAGGGACTTTATCATGATGAGATTGGAGGCCCGGGGGCAGATCAAACTCACTGAGGGTGCATCAGGGTGTCAAAGGTGTGCAAAGGCAACACTCTTCAGCTAAGTGTCATTCATTTACACTTTTAAAATGCCCCTTTTGTACCCCAGACCAAGACCTGACAGACTGCACCTCCTGTACCGGTCTGTTCCACTCCTATGGAAATGATGTTTTTGTCATTGTTCATTTCTGAGAGTCAAAGTGCAGGACGACTCACACAGTGTCCTTCCACCGCAGCAGTAAAGTGTGTGCCGAGAGCCCGTCCGCACTGTGGCTCTGATAGCAGAATATGATTATGGAGGAGATTTGGGTGATAAACGGCTCGGCGGGAGCAGGAGAGGGAGGCCAAACCGGGACAGATCCAAAGCGCGGATACAATGAGGAAATGAGTGTGTCTTTAGTGGCCACATTTATCCAGGTAATGTGGACACAAATGGACCTAAAGAGCAGACGGGACGGCCATGGACAAGAAGAAAGGAGACACAGGACAGAGGACGGACGGGGGGAGAGTGAAAAATAACATTCTGTGGGTTGATTGAACATTTTTATCCCAGACACAGTGAACCAGAGCAAAGTGTGTGACAGGAAATGTCTTCAGTTATAGTTTATGTTTTAGTCTTGGTTTAAAGTGTACATGACACGTTAGACCAGGGGTGGGCAAACTTTTTCACTTGTGGACCACAAAGGTTCTAAAATTTGACGGAAGAGCCGCGGCAGCGACCGGAGTTTTGCAGGAGTCACGCGGTTCGGAGGGGCGGAGTCAAGGCGCCGCTTTAACTACAAAGTGCTACGGGAAACACTGGAAGATAGATCGCTCTATGGGGGCGGTACCTTGGGACGGTTGTCATGGTGATTCCCACCAGGTGGGCGTGGGTCACGTGGGCACAGATGCACGTTGGGTTCTTTAAAAATGGCGCTCACCTGCCTGACAGGTAAGGGACCTGTCACCTGATGACGTGGCACCGGGAGCCGAGCCAACTCGTTTTGTTTGTCGACAGTTTTACTAAAG